ACGTCTATATTACAGCCCATGGACCAGGAGTTGATTTGCAATGTGAAAGCTGCATTCTCAACAAAAAAATTCCAGCTCCTGAACGACTACACCAACACCAGGGAAGAGTTGCGTGACCTGAGTGACACCACCACCGATAGCAAGAGCGACGAAGATGAGGAACAACGGTTAGAACAGCAAAAAATACTCTTCAAACAATTCTGGAGAATATTTAACATCAAGAAAGCTGTGGACATCTTGGTGGAGTCATGGGATCAGCTGTCTATTGCTACAATTCGTCACGCATGGAGACATGTGTTGCATGGAATACCAGGTGAGAGGAGGAGTCAATCTGTGACTGGTGAGGTTCAGAATGTTGCAGTAGCAGTGGACCTTGCCAGAGAAGCTGCGCAGACTGTTACAGTTCCAGGCTTCTCCGAGACCACCAACGACGACATCCTGGAGGTGATCAGAGATCCTGAAGTGACTGCCGACGAGATGATGGAAGAAGAACACGTCAGTGAAGAGGAGGAAGAAGGTGCGTCAGTCTCCGAAGAACACAGTTTAAGTCATAGTGATATTAAGTGTGCCATGGAGTTTGCAGAGAAAATTAAGTCCGTCCTTTCCCGCGACAATGACGATGACCGCTATGAAGTCTTCCATAACCGGCTGGTGCAGGCTATGGAGCCGTACATCACGGTGTATCACGACAACATCAACGCCAGCCGTCAGCAAAGCATAACAGATTTCTTCACCCGCAACCCACCACAGCCAGCCCAAGCCAGTGATAGTGACAGTGAAGTTGACTTTGAGGGATTTGTCAGGGAAGCCCTGACAACTGTAAGTGACAGTGATGATGATTCACCTAGTAATGGTGATTCACCTGAGGGCCAGTAATCTGCCCTCTGCCTCGGAACCAGCCTCCATCCCCGTATGCCGACCCATCTCTTCTACTACCGTAAGTGTTACACAAAATTTTTAGTTTTTTAACCTATTCTTTATTTTTCCTATGTTAACCTTTATCTTTCCTAACCTAACCTCTTCTATATTACTTGTTTTTTCATACCATCATAAAGTTAAGATAAAATTTTTACTACAACATAGTTGTGTGTCGTCAAAAAGTGGAGTTTGGGGATCGGCCTGGACTCCATTTCAATTAATCCCATATGTTATGTTGTTCACTTTCCGCGGGACCCTCCGGGTTACATTAACCGCGTAATGTGAGGACCAACTATATATATATATATATATATATATATATATATATATATATATATATATAGTTTAAGTTTTTATTAAGTTTATCCATAATAATATGCTGAAGCCTTATTAACGTCTTGCAGATTGTCAGTGAGCGTGAAGCATACCACAGAGAACAATGCATTTTCCCAGTTGGTTTCTGTTCTTCTAGAATATTTGCAAGTCTCAGAGATCCATTGAAGCCAGTGCTGTACACTTGCAAGATACTAGATGGTGGCCTCATCCCACGGTAAAGTTATTTGCCGTACACAACTTTTTTTTTCTGTCACTAGGCTTATTATGTATTTAGCTTTAATAAATTTGATACCTTATTCTTTCAATACTGAATGTCATGAATAAAATTTTCAACAAATACTTCAGTTGCTGAGGATCACCTCTCCTTCAGTGGTAAAGATTGAAACACAGGCCAGCTAGTCTACTACATATTAGAATTTTTATTATTGTTATTATTATTATTTTTTTTTGCTTTATTATACAGTATGCCCTCCAAGTTTGCGGATTTTTACATCACGGTTCTCAGTTATTCACGGATGACACCCTCGATGTACCCAAGAATGTCTGTGGGTAGTTTTAAAGTTGCCAGCATTTTCGTGGCTGGGACAAGGACAATAATTTCCTTTACCAGTATTGTAAATATGTGTGTGTGTGTATAGACACATATGCACAGAACACATACAAATAAATAATACAGGTTCAACCTCCCTAATCCGGCACCCTTTGGACCTGACCGGACTATAGAATTTTCCGAACCACAGTTGGTCTTTGTAAAATACATAGTATTATTGTTGTCACACAGTTTTAATGGTATGAATCTGGTGTCTTGCTAAAACATTACACCTGTATTAACATTGTTAACATTGTATAGGCTTGACTTTGTATCATTTATGGTTTTTGATTGACATAATATACTTGATTTTCTTTACAGGTTTGAGGTAGTGTGTGAAGATGAGGAGGATGCAGTAGTGGTGGGGAACTCTCCAGCAGAGTGCCACAACCACATTCTTCAAACCATCAACCTTGCACTTGACATGGATCTGCTGACTATCAGGTATGAAGTGTCACATTGTAGGTATTTGACAACCATTATTCCTATTTATTTGTTGTAGGCCAGAATTATAAAGTTTGTCAGACTTATACTTTATCTGTCAGTATAAATTAAGGATAAAGAGACCTATTATTTCTTAAGAAAACTGTTTTAATATTTAAATCCCAATTAGTTGGGAAGAAAGTAAGGTTAATAAAAGTACCTGTATAGGATTTATAATAATAACTTTCCTGGTGGTGTAGGCTAGTGCATCAGTGTGCTGCTCTCCTGACCCGTGTTTAATCTCATGATGCATAGAGTGAGGTGCTCATAAGAGACCTGTTACGTGATGCTGATATTAAGTTGTCAAGTGATTGTACAGTACTTACTTAGTGTACCTTAGTTGATTTTACATATATTTACTAACCCCTTCATGTACAGCATGCCCTGACAATTCACAAATTTTTAGTTCGCGGTTCTTGATTATTCGCGGATGACACCCTGGATATACCCAAGAATGTCTAAGGGTATTTTTAAAGTTGCTGGCATTTTCGCAGCCGGGACAGGGAGCCATTCGTTCTAGATACAGTACTGTACAAATAAGTAACGACGGGACAATCCTCTCACAAATAATCAGAAACAAGACAACAAAATTTTGAAAATGTGAGACTTACATTTTTTTTTAAATTTGTTCTCTTGTTTCTGATTATTTGTGAGAGGATTCTCCCGGTATTATTTGTTTGTATGTGTTTTGTGTGTGTCTACATACACGCACACACACACACACACGTATACAATACAGTTAAAAGAAATAATTTTCCTATCGGCACACACATAAAGGGAATACTGTATACAGTTCTTTGCACACGAGTAAAAATGTACCCCCCCCTCCCCCCTGGTCAGCAAATGTTATTCACAGATTTGACTATTTGCGGCCATTTTGAGAATCTAGCACCCACAAATTTTAAGGGTATGCTGCACTGCACTGTATTTATTTATTTATTATTTTAGATATTGCATGATAATTATTTCTTAAATTTTGGCAGGCCAGAAGGTAGTAACAGTGAAGAGCGAGGTTGCCGCTTTTTTGGATTGACTCATCCTAGTGTACAGAACGTGCTGCAGGCTTGTCCAGGGGCAAGAAAATGTTCCCGCTACAAATGGGTCAAATTTGAGGTGATTATGTTTCATTGATTGCTTATTACAGATTGTGTTTCTGGAGCCTCCATGTACTGTACAGTATTGCCAGATGTGATTTAAACGAAGGGAGTGTAGTCTTTGCTTGGCTGGGTGGGGTAATCTGTTCCACACCTTCACACCATGATATTTTATGGGGGTCTGGGACCGAGAGGAATGCATGAGGGTTGGTATTAGTAAGTCTGAGTGTCTTGTCTTACATTGTATCTCTGGTTATTCTGGAACTGGAAATAATTATTCTCAATCAAGTGATTAACAGATTTATAAACAAATAGAGTAGAGCAGTATGTGGTAATGTCCTCAAATTATAACATTTTCAATTTAGCAAATTGTTTGTTTGTGTGATCAGTTTTTTTCAAGTAGGTCATTCTCCGCACAACTCTCTTCTGGGCGGTGACCATGGGTTATGTTTTAGTGGAGTTGGAGGCCCTCCATAGTGTGTGACAGTGTATCAAGTGTTGTTAAATATAGTCATAATAGATTTCTTTCATTGCTGCAAGAGTGAGTGACTGATGAGTGTGAAACAGGATACTGTACAGTGGTCCCTCAGTTAACGAGCACAATCCGTTCCAGTGGGTTCCTCGTTAACTGAAAAACTCGTTAACAGAAACCATTGTTTCAATGGGTTTTTGGGTAATTGGTTTCAGCTCACCGAAAATTGCCTAAATTCAACAAAAAAGGTAGAAAAGTACACTTACTTTGAGGTGTGTATGTAGAAGGCTCCTGGATGATGATGATGATGATGATGAGAATTAGAATGGGGGTGGAGGAGAATGGAGAAGAGAAGGCATTGGGGTGGAAGAGAAGTCACCCCATGGTGCCATTTCACCCATAAAATTTTAGTTCTCTTGGTGTAATTCAAGATTATTTTCTTTAAATCAACACTGCACTGCATTATATATTGTCAATATGTAAAATAAATTCCAAAATGACCAATAATTTGCTTGCAAACACAGAAAAAAAGCGTTTAGTTGAAGAGAGTCTCAAGCAAGATGTTACCTCCACTGAAAAGACAGAGAGACTGGCACGTGTTTGGTGTGTTGCCAGGCTGGATGGCGCGCATGAAACTAGATTCCTTACCTTCAATTATGTTAAATAATTGTTAAAATGACTAAAAAATTTAATATTAAACCTTTAAAATTATTGAATAGTATAAACTTCTTGATATTTACTAAAATAGTAAGGAATTTAAGCCCTAAAACCGATTACTGTATTGGCGGACTATTACTACAGCTGGTGGAACGCCAAATGCAAGCGAAAACATGTTGAGGTCGGCTCGTAAAAAACTCGTTAAACGAGGGATTGCTCGTTAACCGAAGTTAAGAATCTTATGGAAGGTAACTCGTTAACCGAAATCTCGTTAACCGAGGCGCTCGTTAACCGAGGGATCACTGTACTGTTTATTGATTTTACTGTGAATAACTTGCATATGGTTTTTCCATTTAAGTTTATCATCGAAAATAACCCCAAGGAATTTAGTATTTTGTTCTTGTTTGAGGACTGTATTACCAAGGTACAGGGGGGACCAAATCTGGAGGAAAGTTTTCCTTCTGTGAAAGATTGTGTAGTGGGTTTTTTCCAGGTTTAAGGTCCGTTTATTACGTATTACCCAGTTCCTGACTTTAGTCAATTCACTGTTCATAGTTCTCATCAAGGAATGGAGATCTGAGTGACTGTCATAGAGATCTATACACTCCTCCATACAAATGTTTGTGGACGATGCTAAATTATTTACAGAGATTAAGAACGAAACAGACTGCGAAGAGCTGCAGAAAGGTCTCGGTGAGCTTCAAGAGTGGTCTAAGAAATGGCTGCTAAAATTCAATGTCACAAATTGTAAGAGCATGCACCTGTGTTGTACCAATGGTAAGTAAGCATATCATATGTCCCAACGGGATGAAAAAACTGCATTAATAGAGACCAAATGCGAAAAGGACCTGGATGTGTATATCAACAATGAATTAATTGAGATGCATAAATATCTCAAAGGGCACTACTCAGTCGTGTGTCCATACCTGGAGCTGGCAAACGCCTGCCCCACAAGGGGTCACAGCTCAAGGTTGAAGAAGCCACAAGTCCAGAAAACTGTGGGGGCAAACTTTTTTAGGGTAAGAATTGTGAACTCTTGGAACAACCAGCCAGTGTGTGTTGTGACGGCACCGAGTGTGAGTTCTTTCAAGACAAGACTTGACCAACACTGGAGCAGGTTCAGATACCTTCAAGAGCCAGCGCAGGCCCAGTACTTGCCAACAGTGCTTAACAGAGACGTGATTGACCACCCAAGCAGCTAACGAGCTGATCACTGGTGAAGAGGATAAAGGTAAAAGTATTACCGGTACTATCATCTGCAAATAAGTTGTATTTTACAAGTGTGCTGGAGTGGACTATAATATCATTTATGTACAGCAAGAATGGAGCCTTGAGGGATGCCATACAAAATAGGTGAGGAGTCAGATTGATGTTTATTATAGCAGACATACTGTTAGTTGTAGGGCTATGTCCCATTTGCAAGCATCCTACAGCTTCGAACGACCAGGGCGTAAACGCGCTACCTACTTTCCAAAGCAACCTGTGTCTCACCTACCAGCATCTTGCCAGTGTAAACATGCATTGCAGATGTTAGCTGGAAATTTTAGAAAGTAATGGTTATCAACATGTGGTACGTGCAGAGGTACCCAGGAAAAAACATCCCATATATCAGAGAAGGATGGAAGTAGTCGAATTTCACCATCTCTACAAGGATCTTCACCAAGATCCAAAGAAGTTAACGAGTACACCCGTATGTATTCTGATTGGGGACGAGGCCTACCCACTCTGTATATATTTCTTGAAACCCTATCCTAGAAATGTTCTAAAGAAGGAAAATATAATTTTTAATTCCAGATTGCCAAGTGCCAGGCATGTTGTAGAGTGTGCATTTGGAATTTGTACAAGTAAATGGAGAATTTTAAATAAAGCTCTTGAAATAAAGGTAGATACTGCTGTTAACATTGTAAATGGTGCTAAACTTTTCCATAATATCATCATTGACACAGGGTCACATGGTCATATGCAATTCAAGAATGTACAGTTGAGAATAACAGAGTGCTCTCTAGAATAAACAGTACACTACTTCACATTCTTCTACTTAAAAGTGAGAGAAAAATTTTGCAGCTTCTTTTATAGTCCACAGATATCTATTTCTTGGCAAGATCAAGCTGTTAACAGTGAAAAATGAAAGTACAGTTTAGCCTTCTTTAATTTTGGTGGAGAATGCAAGGACTCACGCGACTGAGGAAGCAGCAATCAAAACATTTGATCGCTGCTTTCAGGTTGCGCATCTAGTTCTCACTTCCTGGTCACTCATGAACGCTTTGCGCGTCTACATGTGCCGCATCAAAGAAAACACATATGTTTGTCCCCTACACCAAGGTAGAGCGTTAACTCATGTGGTCGCTCAATGCCGCAGAACGCTTGCACACGGGACATAGCCTAAGTCAGATATGAGGTAAACCATTGTGGGATAAGCCCCTAACACAGTAATGTTTAAGCTTTGACAGGAGGATGGTATGGTTGACAGTATAAAAGACTTTAGAGAGGTCCAGGAACATTCCGACTGAACTGACTATCATCAAAGGAGTTTAAGATATCATTGGTAAAGGACAACAGGGCACTCTCGGTTGACCTTCTAGCTCCAAATCCAAACCGAGAATCTGTAAGGATGTTATTGTCACTACAGAAGACGTTTAGTTAACTACATGCCAGCTTCTTCAGTACCTTACCTAAGGCTGGAAGGACTGACATGGGGAGCTAATTCTTGAAAAGACCTTTATCACCAGATTTTTTATATTCTGGGGAATTTTTTCCATAAGAGTTAATGTAATTACAGGTAAATGCATTCCATCGTGTACAGTAATACCCCTTGAAAGCTCAGGATGTGTTCCTCAAGAGAGTACTTTCAACAAATTATCTTGCTACAGTGTAGTACTGTATACAGTATTTGGTTTGGAGATATGTTCAAAACAACGTTATATTTTACCTTTGAGTGATATATGGTGGCTCGGATTTTGCTACTTGTACACTTAGACAAATGATCACTGATTAAACCAGGGCATATGGAGATGCTTTATACATTACAATAATATTTATTAACTTTGCTGATAAAAACTAAAATATTATTTACTAAGTGCTGAAGACAGATCCTTGAGCAGTGACAACAATGGTACTTGAGAGATAGTGAGTGCTGGCAACACTGTTTGGTAGAGCGGGAATGATCATTTGTTACCACTCTGTAATTAAGAGACTGGAAGTATAATACAATGCAATAAATTATTTAGGGATGGGTGTGGAATTTTTGGGGAGAAAATTTATTACTTTACGATAATATCTTATTAATCCGGCACCAAATGAACCTAAATGATATGGGAATTATGGTGAAGTTGCATATTGTCACTATAAAGGGATCGCCAGCTTATGAGCACGGGAGAGAATTGTCCCCTCAGTCCAGTAAGCACTCCCTCCCTCCTTCCTTCCTCAGGGGGGGATCTTAGGGGTCCTGACCCTTCTTTTCATCAGAAAATTCCAATACTGTACTTTTTCTTTAATGCAGTATTGTACTCAGAAACTTTTGTAAAGTAAAAAGTAATTACTATTGACCTTAAAATATCTCTTAATATCAAGTGCACATAGCCTCAAAATGGCCTCAAAATGCCCATGATATTGGTCAGATTTCAAAATAATTTCTGGGGAGGGTTTAACCCCCCCCCCTCCAAAAAAAAAACCTAGCTGGGTGGGCTAGCTGTGCTCAGCGTGTTCCCCTACCTGCAACTTGGAATCCCCCCCCCCATCCCCTTTAATATTCTAGGATCTGCCCCTGCTCCCTCCTCCGCCACTCACCACCTCCTGTCACTAGCTATGCAACCAGACGTAGTTTAATGATTTTTTGCCTCCATTTCTTTACATCCAAACCATCCATTATATAAGAACTTAAATTTTTTGGTATTGGAACTTTTGTGTGATTTTAATATCCAGTAGTCTGGCGAGTCATGGTGTGTTGCCAAACCACTTGCTACCCTCAAATACACTCCATATCCCATAGAGAATACTGTACACCCCTACTGTCTTAATTTTCCTTTATATTTTTATATTATTGTATTTTCTTTATTAATAAGACACATTAGCACATTGAGATGACTTCAGTGCAAATTCTATGGGTACTTACATATAACAATGGCAAAGCTTGCAGTCGTGTCGAGGGTGACTGATGTGTACTTTGGTGTGGTAGGAACTTAACACTTATAGGGCACTTTTATTACTTAATATACTGTAGTTATTTACACATTATATTAGATAATTATAACACTATTTATGCATCATATTCGGATATACACAGACTTATTATAATACATTGGATGATGCAAACAACGTACAGTACAGATACAGGTTGTACCTCTCTAGTCCGGCAACCTCGGGACCTGACCGGTGCCGGACCATGGAAATTCACCCTTTTCCTGGATAGATAGTGACTTGTGCTTATGCTTGGAAGCACTAGCACCACTTTCTCTGCATCATGGTCTCTTTGAAGACATATTGAAGGGTTAAATGTCGTACAGTAGCTTCTCAAATTTCGCAAGTTTTTAATTCTTAACTTATTTTATTGGAACACACAAAAAAATAAATAAATAAAAATTTTGACAGCGGAAACTTGAATTTTGACGGGTTTGAACGGCACGTCAACGTGCAAACGACGTGCATAATCGTGTAAACAGCGTCATTTCTCTTATGTATAAAAGATTCATTATTGTTTATTACTGAATGTCTTTTTTATTGAATTAATGTGTGTAAAATGAGCAATTCAATTCATTAATAATACGTAGAATATTAAAACACACGAGGAAATGACACAGCATTGTTTTCGTTGATTACAAAACCAGTGACTAACTGGTTCTACATATAAAACTGAAGAAAATAAGACCTTGGCTGTAGCTGTAGTAAAATTAATATGGTTTTTTAAGTAATGTTATTTAATGTTAATAAATGGAACAATAGAAGTAGCTAACGATAATGGTAAAGAAAAAAGAGAGATCGCGTATGTAAGTGTGCATGTGCACACATGAAAACATATCATCATTACAGGTTGTACCTCTCTAGTCCGGCATTCTGTGGTCCGGAAACTCCCGTGGTCCGGAACGATTTTAGTTTGTCCAATAGGTAGATAGGCAGCTTTTTTTTTTTTTATTAACTTATCTGAATTATTATTATTATTACAGGAGTATTAAATTTTTGCCCCTCAGGCCCTAATGTGGGTCAGTGACCTATTCCCGGGTGGGCTAATCCCCTTAAAAAAAAAAGCCGCGGGAAATTAAGGTTTGTTTACATCCGGCAGTTCGGCTGCTCTCTCTCTCTCTCTCTGCTTGTCTATACAGAGTACAACATTTAACCCTTCAATATATATGAGCAGTAAATAAGTGTTGCTTTCATATTCTTATGTAGAGTAATGACGATATATTTTCACATGTGCGCACTTACATACGAGCAGTCTCACTTTTTTTTTTACCATTAATGGTTAGCTACTTATATTGTTCCATTTATTAACATTAAATAACATTACAGGTACTTCAAGCAACCATATTAATTTTTTTACATTAATTTTACTACAGCTAAACTCAGGGTCTTATTTTCTTCAGTTTTATATGTAGAACCAGTCAGTCACTGGTTTTGTAATCAACGAAAACAATGCTGTGTCATTTCCTCGTGTGTTTTAATATTCTACGTATTATTAATGAATTGTATTGCTCATTTTGCACACATAAACATTAATTCAATAAAAAAGACATTCAGTAATAAACAATAATGAATCTTTTGTACATAAGAGAAATGACTCTGTTTACACGATTATGCACGTCGTCTGCACGTTGGCGTGCCGTTCAAACCCGTCGAAATTCAAGTTTCCGCCGTCAAAATTTTTATTTATTTATTTATTGTGTGTTCCAATAAAATACGTTAAGAATTAAAAACTCGCGAAATTTGAGAAGCTACTATACGACATTTAACCCTTCAATATGTCTTCAAAGAGACCATGCTGCAGAGAAAGTGGTGCTAGTGCTTCCAGGCATAAGCACAAGTCACTATCTATCAAGGAAAAGGGTGAATTCCATGGTCCGGCACCGGTCAGGTCCCGAGGTTGCCGGACTAGAGAGGTACAACCTGTACTTTACATAAGAATATGAAAGCAACACTTATTTACTGTTCATATATATTTTAATTAATGTTTCTGAATTTGTTTTTATTGAATTAATGTTTGTGTGTGCAAAATTAACAATACAATTTATTAATAATACGTGGAATATTAGAGGAGACGAGACGGCTGCCGGCATTGTTTATGTTAAAGCATACAAAACCAGTGACTGATTGGTTCTACATATAAAATTGAAGAAAATAAGACCCTGATTTTAGCTGTAGTAAAATTAATGTAAAAAAAATTAATATGGTTGTTTGAAGTACCTGTAATGTTATTTAATGTTAATAAATGGAACAATATAAGTAGCTCACCATTAATGGTAAAAAAGAAAGTGAGACTGCGCGTATGTAAGTGCGCACATGTGAAAACATATCGTCATTACTCTGCATAAGAATATGAAAGCAACACTTATTTACTGCTCATATATATTGAAGGGTTAAATGTTGTACTCTGTATAGACAAGCAGAGAGAGAGAGAGAGAGAGCAGCCGAACTGCCGGATGTAAACAAACCTTAATTTCCCGCGGCTTTGTTGTTGTTTTTTTTTTACGGGATTAGCCCACCCGGGCATAGGTCACTGACCCACATTGGGCCTGAGGGGCAAAAATTTAATACTCCTGTAATAATAATAATAATTCAGATAAGAAAAAAAAAAAAAAAGCTGCCTATCTACCTATTGGACAAATTAAAATCGTTCCGGACCACGGGAGTTTCTGGACCACAGAATGCCGGACTAGAGAGGTACAACCTGTATACTGTGTGTGAAACAAATGTATAATGAAAATTTCGTCCTATATTTTTTAGCGATGTATATGTCAAGTAACATATAGCCGTACAACATATAATGAGGACCCTTTATACTCTCAATACCCAGTTGCCCTCTTAACTCAGAACAAGGCCTCTTATGTTTCAGTGTCACATTGCACATCCACCTCACGGTATTCATATAGCTCACTCAAGTCTACTTGTGTCATCCTCTTTAACTGCCCATGTTTGACTGTCATACAACATCACATTTCTCACACAAGCCACATACATTGTTCCTTTCACTCAGGGGGAAGGTTTTTCAATAAAGGCAGTAGCTCCCTAGACTTCCGCCAGCCACTTTTGACTCTTGCAGCTGAGTAGGCTCCAGCACCCCTACTGACAATAATTATTTTTTCTTTTTTGGGTGCAGGTGTGTCGCAGTGAAGCTGAGGTAGAATGTGTGTTTGAAGCAGAGAAGGAAGCATCACTTTGTCATGAGGCATTACTGCGCAATATCCGCTTTGCTCGACACCACGTAACATCACCATGAGGATTGCTGTCTTTAAAGTTTCATTTTAATGCAGACTTCAGATTTGTCAGTACAGTGCTGTTTATATTTTTATGAACTTGCTCACACATGCATTATGCATGCTTTTTTACCAATTAGTAAGAAAATAGTTATACTAAAGCAAATGTCATTGAAATACACCGAAAATCCAGAATAAAGTATATTGTATAATTATGTGAAGATAATAAATTATGTAGGCATATGACAATGATTTGTATTAATACTTCCTTCAGTCACAGAGGTGGTGCTTATTTGGTGGGTTTAGTTATTGTATTGAAGAAGTGCTTAAAATGACAGGTGTCAATTTCTGATTTTAGAGGTGTGTGAGAAAATAATGACCACAGTAACATGCTAGTTAATAATGGGAAATCAAGGATGCCTGGAGAAAATACTACGCTCAATTACTGAATGAGGGGTATGAATGGGACAGAGGCAGCTTATGGATAGTAGAATCACTACAGGAATCATGCCCAAGGATTGAAAGAGAATGGGTAGAGAAAGCAATTGACAAATTGAAGAATGGAAAGGCAGCTGGAAGCTCTGGGATAGTTGCAGAAATGCTGAAAGCATCAGGCGATGTAGGCATGTCAATGGTAACCAAATTGACTAATGCAATCATAATGGAAATGGAATTAGCTGTGATTGTGAATACATACTTAAAAAGGTAAAGGTTATGCACCAGAATGTGAGAACTACAGGGGCCTGAAGCTGATAGATTGGGTTAGGGAAGCTGTAGAATGAGTGATTGAGAAATTAATAAGGGAGAGAGTATCCATAAATGAAATGCAGTTTGGGTTTATGCCAGGTAGGGGGACTATTGAGGCAATATTTATGATCAGGCAGCTGCAAGAGAAATATTTAGGGAAGGAATGAAAATTGTACTTTATATTAACCCTCTCAACCTCGGAGCCTGACACATACCGTATACGTGCATGAAAACTTACACTCAGCCTCAGAGGTTTTTGCCGAAAAATCGTTGATTTTTTTTTTTCTGGGCTCATTTCACTGCCATGGAATTGTTTTATTAATTGTAATGGGGTCTCTTCTCTCGTAAAATTGTCTGAAAATTTGTATGAAACCATAAAAAAACTAAAATTCTTGAAATTTGTCACTTTTTTCGAGTACAAGTACTACAGTATAAGTTGAGAAAGTAGGAAAATGTTTAGTAACATCTTGATTTCCATTCACATTTTGCTTGTATTATGGTGTTCATTGATATGTTCTATATACCAAAATAAAGAACAAAGCATGTGAATATCATGGTATAAGAAAAATAATATAACACAAAAACTCATGGAATAATTTAAAGGGCTTAGCAGTGCACCCTCCTCTCACCTTAATGGCCACAGCAACACTGGCTTCATGCTGGCTACCAAACACAAGATGACCAAAACCGTCTTGGGGAAGGCGATAAGGCCCACACAAAGAAACCGACGTCTGTCAAATGGCATCCAAAGTTCAGTCAGTTTCACAGAATAGTTTTTAAGTTATCTGGTAATATAGCCCATTGGACGCCACGTTGGCATCACGAGGCTGTGTATGTTTTTCTCCTTTTATGTTCGACGCCATAATGGCGTTGTGCGAGGCTGAGAGGGTTAATAGACTTAGAAAAGGCATTTGACAGGGTACCAAATGAAGTAGTAAAGTGGGCAATGAGAAAATTACGAGTCGAGGAGTACCTTTAACAGTGGTTATGGCATTATATAAGGGCTCAGAAACTTCTGTGAGAGTAAGTATGAGGACTCTGAGGTAAAAGTAGGTGTCCATCAGGAGTCTATCTTGAACCACCACCTGTTTATCATGGCCTGGAGGCAATACCATGGGATTTTAGGACTGACCTGCCCTGGGAGTTGCTGTATGCTGAAGACTACTTAGTGCTGATAGCAGGTAGTATTGAAGAGGCAGTGGAGAAATTTAAGAAATGGAAAGGGTGGAATAGAGGCAAAATGCCAGAGTGAACGTTGCAAATTCAAAGATAGTGGTGTAGATGAGGGACCCTTGGTGGAAAGTGAAAAATGGCCATGCACTGTCTGCAAGAAAGGTGTGAGCAGTAATTTAATAATGTACAATGAGTGTGGAAGTGTCAATGAGTTCTGTTACCTGGGTAACATGATCAGTGCCAGTGGGGGTGCTGAAGCCTGCTCAGTTGCAAGTGTCAGAAGTGACTGGAGGAAGTTTAGAGGGATGTTGCATTTATTGATGGCAATAGGATTTTCCCTCCAAGTGTAAAGAAGGACTTATACAGTTAGTGTGAGATATGTGATGTTGTATGGCGGGCCGATGAATATTTCGTCCTCCCAAAAATTCCTATTAGCATTCCGATGATGAAAATATCGTCATCGACTTCAAAACCTTGCCAAAAATCTATTTCTTTCTTGATTTTCATGGTTCAAGTCTCAAAATGTGCACCATTGTCTTCCCATTCTCGGTGCACAACTGTGGTGGACATGAGGTGTTGAGATAATTGCCCGGTGGGCCTGCAAACATCAGATGCTTCCCGCTCCTTTGTGATATTCACTTGTATTTGTGTATGTTGATGTTAGATTCAACTTCATTTGTATAAGAGTATTATAAAGCAATCATTTGTGAAGAAATACACATTTAACAAAAGAAATACGATGGAAAATAATGTCACACACAAAAAAGAAACGCAAACATTTATACTGTGAGTGTCATCAGCTGAGCATGCCCTGCCCACCTTGGGTTGTGGCAGCATGTGCCCTGAGGGACCCTGAAACTGTTTAAGAGGTTGACATAAGAAATCTTGAGCAAGCTGATATGAGAATGGTGAGGTGGATGTGTAAAGTGACACAGAAGGACAGGAGGCCATGTTCAGAGTTGCATAGGGTGGCTGAGTATTGACGAAATTCTGCATACAGGCAGGCTGAGATGTTTTGGGCAAGTGGGGAGAATGGATGAGAACAAATAGAGAAAATCCAGAAAGTCAGTTAAAGAATCCTGTATTTAATCTTATTCTAGACACAGCTATAGCTTCTTTATCAGACAGATTTGAACAGCTACAAAATACCAATAACCTAAAAGATTTGCCATATATAAATGAAGTGAGATTTTCATATCAAAGTTTGGAGGACAAGTTAAGGTATCAAAAACAGTAATATAAACATACGTGAACTCCTTACTAAACCAAATACCCTGTATTACAAACACAATATTTCCTGGAGATGTAAAGCTTCTGATACAGGATTGATTTATTGATTGATTCATTTATTGATATAAGATAATACATCTCAAAGGGATGAAGTGAGGGTGACATGTCAAATCAGTGGGTGGCATTAACCCCTGAGTATTCAAGGCATAAAAAGGTGTCATTCAAAGGGCTATGGCATTGTACTCAAAGGATTCAGTTACAGTTTCTCAGGGGGTTATCATCGTACTCAAAGGGCCAACTCATTGAAGTCATCGTACTGTACTTAGGTGAGTTAAGGATAATATTTAAGATACCTACGTACAACAGTGGTCACAGGAGACTTAAAAGACATACACTTCCATGACACAGGAACGATTAAATTCATTAGTAGTTTTGTTAGAAATTACCTTGTCTAAAATAGATATTAAAAGTGTAATGAAAAAAATTGCTCATCTAAAGTCGAGGAAAAAATGTTTTAGGATTATGTGTTTTTTCATTGTTGTTACGTTTATTTATATTTCATTCATTTTTTCATTTATTTGTAATAAATTCTTTGTTCATATTCTAATAGTTTTTACCATGAAATTTGTGAACATTCATTAACTATTATATTGTGACAGACTTATGAGTGATAATCAAGTGAAAATCATGCTGCAGGCTGAATATTCTATTTTTATGAATAATTCCAATAACAGTGAATAATTGTTTGTCAAATGTGATAACAAATAATGTATTTTGAAACAAATCTGTGCCCATCGTTGAATTGGTATTATCAGTGGTATATAAACTTTTTGGACAGTATATTATGTTACGTTTTATTAAATAATTTCCTCTTGAATTTATTGAATTTGTTTTAAGTGACACCTTTATACTTTAAATAAATAAATCATATTTTTACTGTAATTTTAATGTATTGTCATATAAATAATAAGAACAAGCGCAACAACCAGTTGATAGTCCAAATACCTTGTTTATAAACCCCTGCCCACTGATGACGTCATTACCTGTAAGTCGAATCACACCTCGAATCAGGCTTCAATACTTTGAATCAAAATCCTCACTGATTTTATTTAAAGTACTAAGCAATTAAGCTTCATTAATGTAAGTAATCTTCATTACAAAAGTTATTTTTCGTTGGTGATTAAGTAATTATGTTTATATCTTCATAAGTAAGCTGGGATTCGGAGGGATGACGGTTCAGTTTGGATGAGAGCCTGAGAGGCCTCATTCACACGTCTCAAAGGCTCAATCTTTATGGCACTGTACTGGTACTATTATTGGTTGCTGCTGGTAGCTTCTGATGATAGGTATGTGTTACAACGGTAGTAGGACACAGGAAGAAAAGCACTGTGAGTTGTGAAGCGTCGGTAGGTGCAGCAAGGAGTCATGGACGTTTATGTGGAGTGTGTAATGTCGCCGGGGACGCTGGAGTTGTGGGATGCTCGGTGAAGCAGTGCTGGAGTGCTTGGTATCCTAGGGCTGAGGAAGTTTGAGAGGAGAAGAAAGTCGTAGAACTTGACGGGGTTGGGGACCGTGGAGTGGTGGTCAAGGGGGCGATTTACAAGAAAGGGGACGGCGACAAAGTGATCAGTGACCGCCAGTGAGTATTGACTGATTATACCATATTAGTTATACCATAGCAATTATTTCGTAAACCTCGAGTGTGGATTTGTTCTCTGATGTACGAATTAATTACTGTGTGGCCATATATTGTCCCAAGTGTGGTGTAAAGTACTCGAAGTTTTAACTGATGTTTAACACAACATGATTCTGTTAGTTATTATAATTTCCTATCTGTTAATGTCTCCCATCTTACTCACTCCTTAAAAGACACTTTACTGTGAACATGACTCGATCAATTCTTCCATTTTTCTCCATCTTGTATCACTCAGGAAATTGAACCAGTAACTGAGACAGTGAGGCCCGGCGTCAGATTCATAAGTCTAGGGGGGCAGCACTCAATGAGTCATCCCTAAACATTTCTTGTAGCTTTAATTACAACAAGGAACTTTAGATTTTACTTCGTATAATAGAATTCCAGAAAACATGACTCGCAAAAACTATTTGTTGACTTTCAGTCCGCTTTGGAACTGGGGAGCCGTAGCTTAAATTGGGGGACACTGCCCCCTCCCCGTAGCGACGGGACCTTACTTTTCAGTGAACAGTGTGTGGAGCGAGTGTTGGTCAAGTGAGAACTGGTGTCAAGGCTTCATGAATATCTTATAAAGCATCGTAATATTGTATCTTATTTGTTTTTTCTATTTGTATTGGATATAAATGTTTTATTATTATTATTATTATTTATTATTTATGATTATTATTATTATTATTATTATTATTATTATTATTATTATTATTATTATTATTATTATTAACGGGAAAGCCTAACTGTGTTTCCGATTATTATATTTCGCACTTTCCTTCGAGCAGTATTTTAATAGTAGTGTAAAGAAAGAATTTCGCCGAAAAAGTGCATTCCTGCTCCATATCCTGACATAATTATACTAACCAACAATTCAGCAAATGAGACAGCAGCGGGGGGAATATCGGGCCAATATCACAGCATCGTTATCATCAGTGGGCTGACCTCAAGAACAAGTAGTTGGGAGTGTTTTGGTCTTTTCAATAATTTGTCATCCTTCACGGGCCAAAGCAACACCCTCCCATCTGTTTTTATTCGCTGAATGCATCGGCACTCCATTTTTATTGGTTGAATGAATGAAGAGTTCAATAACTTCTCAATATACGGCAGTCTTACCTTTTTGGTGACATGAACTCTACACCTGTTTAGGGGACATGATTATTATTATTATTATTAATCAAATATGACACGTTTCATGTTTTATAAATATTATTACTGCAATTAGACAAATTATATTAAACAAAAATGTACATAAAACAGACTTCATGACTATTAGGATTCAAAGAAAAGAGCACAAGTAACAAGTGGTATATATTTTTACGTAAATTACAAATATTCCTGTGTTGAGACGTGTTCCAGTCCTCGCACAATATTACTACACAGATTTACACATATCATGAAGTAAGTAAACTCCGCAGGTGAGAACAGAAATAAAAAAATATACATGGCGATTGGTGAATAGGGGGTTAAGGTGAATATGTATTCCAGGTTTTGAGGCCGAGTAGTTACGGTCCACTTATTAAACTGGAGATTTATATATTTACAGGTCTATTATTTTTTCTCCAATTCCAATTTTTGCCTCGGGGTGGTTCAAAACATAAGGAAAGAAGGAAAGGGTAATGTAAAATAAATGTACGTTAAATATAGGTTTTCCGTCATCTAAGTGGTAAAAATTAGGATAATCTTTTTCATTTATGTTTTTTTCTTTTTACTCTTATTTTTTCGCCCCCTAGGCCCCGTTGTGGGTCGATGACCTGTGCCCGGGTTGGCTATTTCCCGTAAAAATATAAATAAAGGAAAGGGCTGGCCAGTAATTGGGAACATGCATATCATCGCAAATTATCAAACAGGCTTATTTTTTTTTTTTTTGGATAGGGAGGGAGGGGGGGGGAGGCTCTACGAAGCGAAGGTCAATGACTCCTCTGTATGGTCTTCTCTTATCACATTTGTAGTTTCATTATGATTATTCTTAAAGTTGCCCAGTGTTTTTCCTCTCCCTCAACAAGCACTAGCTCGATCTGAGGTGGGTATAAAACGTCATCCATTTTATTTCAAAAGAGATCCTGTATTTTAGGAGTTTCTCAAACACTCCTCTTGATATCATGAAGAGGTTTGATTTCTTCTTACCGTGCACAATACTCTAGCCATAAAGTGCGGTTCCTCAGGTAGTCTGATAAACAGTTGGCAGAAACACAACTCGGTGTGAGTTCTTGAACATTAGCGCTCAAGATTGACTCCTGAAATGAAAGGTAAACTATTAAGTTTCAAAGGAATTTATAAGTGACGGTCAATACACTCAAGTCGGCTATTTATTCTTGTAAAAACGAAGAGCCACACTGAGAGATAAATACATATAACTAATGTGTAGTCAACAATCATTCATACATAAAACGTTCAAGTGAGCAATTTTCGGTTTTCGTAATATTAGACAGTTGCCTATGAGGCGAGTTGAACACATCAGCACTCGTGTCATCAACGCCCAGCCAACTATCAATGGCTTATTGTGGAACAAGGTCATTTGCAAGCAATGAGGTCACCTGTATCAGAGAACCATGTTTGTGTGTTTTATGTCTTGTCAGATTAATGTAAGCACTACTTTAACATCAACATCTCTGCAGCCGTCATGACTATTATTTTCGTCACTTTGTACAGATAAGATGAATAACATGAAATTCTTTAAGAACATCCGGACAGTACCGTGTAAACATGCCAGACGACATTCTCCTCCCCTTCCGTCCCCAGTACTGCACTGTACCTGACCTGCTACCGTGACAACTCGTGTGTGAGCGGCGGTAAAGTTGCTCTCCAGACTTTCCTTTACTGCTGGGTCTTTCCTATAAACTTTGACTTGATCATCTTTAAAATAAAGTCTACCGTTTAAAATAACTCTTAAATTGTTCCTTACTTTTTTACTTCCCATACTCGGGCTGGAGCTTTATTTGTGAAAAAATACACACCAACACGCATGCATGTTGATGATTCTCAACTTTATGGGAAGAAAATACTGCATCGCTGTCAGAACTGACCTGTGATGGATAATTTGAAGCCTTGCGCAGCTGAACCATCTTTGTCTGAAGAAGAGAACACAAACGTCTTCGTCTTAGGGGCGTCGTACGTGGTGAGAAGACTCCACTTCTTTTCCTGTATGTTACCACAGTGTCTTATGCTGGGGACATGCAAGAAGACCTTGTCATTATACCGTAGATATGTTTATTTATTACTTCAGGTTCATACAAGTAAAAGCAGTGACAGGGAAGATATTTTCCTTTATCATGATAATGAGGCGTTGTTTTCCCTCAAGGCAGCAACAGATTTAATTTTCATATGGAAGAGAAGGTCGTACAAGTACAGTACATGATTCTATAAAGGAATCGGACACTTTACGGTAACAGAAAGACTGACCGTGAGTCCTCCAGCAGAACGTCATGTTGACAGTCCTTTGTTTTGAAGATAATGCCTCCCTCCACCACCTTAATCTCTGCAAAACCCGACTGTAGTGACTTGGGGATCTGTAACACGGAGTTGAAAGGGATTCTTATTATTATTATTATTATTATTATTATTCTTATTATTATTATTCCGCTCACCTCTCCATTACACCTACACACGCTTTCATCGCATCTCTTCATAACTAAGGTCTAGTTGTTTTACTGCTACCGTCACCGTCAGACATCCCTTACCGTCCATGCCAGTTATTACTCACCGTTACTGTCAGCTGTCTCGCCGTTACTGCTTGGCATCACTCAAGGTACTGTTAGCCGTCACTCGCTGTCCCTGCCTGGTATTACTTACCGTCACTGTCAGCCGTCACCTACTGTTACTGTCAGGCTTCACTCCTCATCATTATCAGCTGTTACTTAACCTAACAGGCGTTACTCACCGTCACTGTCATTCGTCCCTCACCGTCACTTTCGGCTGACACTCACCGTTACTGTCAGGCATCATTCACCGTCACTGTCAGTCTTACCTCACCACCACTGCTAGGCATCACTCACCGTCACTGTCCTTTGTCACTTACCCTAACAGGCGTCACTCACCGTCACTGTCAGGGTACAGGTGACGCCCTCTGGATAATCTTGAGGGAAGTTTGGGGTGGACCAGTAGTCTAATGACCCATGGGAGATGACGACGTCTTTATTACACTCTGTAGATAGATAGATAGACAGATAGATAGACAGACAGACAGATAGATAGACAGACCACTGATTTTTTTTAACCTTTTTCATCGCTGTGTTCCATATGTTAATATTTATTTCACACTCTTCAAATATCATTCTATTGATAAAACTTTGTCTAGGTTTTGGTTGTAAAGCTCACGTGAGGAATTTGATCAATAGGAAGAATTTAATGTACACTCACTCATTGAAGAGGGAGGTGTGGTGGTAGTTGTCCCAGTGGTGGTGGTGGTGATAGTTGTTGGAGTAGTGGTTGACATGGTGGTAGTGGTGGTTGTTGTTGGTTCGAGAGTGGTAGTGGTGGTTGTTGTTGATTCGATGGTTGTAGTGGTTGTTGTTGGCTCGATGGTAGTAGTGGTGGTGGTTGTTGGTTCGATGGTGGTAGTGGTGGTGGTTGTTGATTCGATGGTGGTAGTGGTGGTGGTTGTTGATTCGATGGTTGTAGTGGTGGTGGTTGTTGATTCGATGGTTGTAGTGGTGGTTGTTGTTGGCTCGATGGTTGTAGTGGTGGTTGTTGTTGGCTCGATTGTAGTAGTGGTGGTGGTTGTTGATTCGATGGTAGTAGTGGTGGTTGTTGTTGGCTCGGTAGTGGTGGTTGGTGTCGATTCAATGGTAGTAGTGGTTGTTGTAGTTGGTTCGATGGTGATAGTGGTGGTTGTTGGCTCAGAGGTAGTAGTGATGGTAGTTGTTGGCTCTGTGGTGGTAGTGGTAGTAGTGGAAGTGACATCTGTTGTGGTGGTAGTGGTAGTAGCATCTGGCCTGGTGGTTGGAATGTTGGTAGTTGTGGTTGACATGACGGTAACAGTGGTTGCTGTAATCGGAGTATTAGTGGTTGCAGTTGGCGTGAGAGTCGTGGTTGGGGTAGCACTTAATGGCGTAGTTGAGTCATTAGTATATATGAGTGTACGTGATGTGGTGGTTATGTTAGTTGTAGTTAGAGTGATGGTGATAGTGGTAGTAGTGGAGATGGTAGTAGTAGTAGAGGTGGTAATAGTGGTGGGAGGAGGAGGAGGAGTGGTGGTAGTAGTAATAGTGGTGATTATAATCGTGGTGATGGTGGTAGTAGTAGTAGGGATGGTGGTGGTTGTAGGAATAGTAGTAAGAGTAGTAGTGATGGTAGTAGAAGTGGTAGTAGCAATAGTGGAAATGGTAGTAGTAGCAGTAGCAACAGTAGTGGTGGTAATGGTAGTAAGAATAGTAGTAGTAGTAGTAGTAGTAGAAGTGAAGATGGTGGTAGTAGTGGTGGGGGTTATAGCAGTGGGGGTGGTGTTGGTGGTATTAGTGGTGGTTGTTGTAGTAGTAGTAATAATAGTAGAAGTAGTAATAATAGTTGTAGGAGGAGTGGTAGTAGTGGTAGTAGTGGTAGTAGTGATAGTGATGGTTGACTTGGCAGTTGTGTTCCAGTCTTGAGTTAATAACACTAAAAATCAGACATATTATTAATAAAGTTGGTATCATGAGCTCTATGAACAAAGGGTCTAGTTGATATAAAAGTACCACATCACATAAAATTTTAACACCAGTATTAGACATGTTTTAATAAGTTTTCCTCATCTTTTTAAAAACGATAATTAATTGTTTATAAATGTTCTTTCCATCTGGTGTTTTATTTTTTTTTAGTTTTTAAAGTTAAGCCAGATGTTTATATTCTTAATAACTTTATTATCTATGTTTCTATTCATTAGTTTATATTCATTGCATCCCACTCTCCTCTAAGCGTTCCTATCCTTGCTCAATACCTCACGCTTCTTCATATAATAGATAAATTAAATCTTTCCCCGACATCAAGACAGTATTTCATTAGTTTATACTAAGGAAACAGTCTGGCTGGTGTCGCTTACATTGTTGGGACTCGATGGGTACTTTACAGTGGCAGCGCTGGTGGCCATTCTGTCGCACCTCGATGATAAACCCAGGTTTCTGTAGCGTCCATCAGCAGCGTCCACCCGCACCAACCAGGTCGTGGAAAAAAGAACAAAACATATGCATTAGAAAAGATAATTAAAGCTGTTCTACATTAAATATTTAATGAGTTTTTACTAAATATTCATTGGTCTTTATCTGGAAATACAAGTTAATTTCCTTATACTTGCAATCAAAGTTTATTTTATATCATATTACAACGATTATCATATTACTCACCAAGTCGGCGGCCCATTTATTGTATCTTTCTTGCCAGGTGATATTTGTTGCCGCCACAACACCCACCAACACCCAGCAGGTAACGACACACCTGTGGATAAACCGTCTCATCAACTCGTTTAACTGTGCTCCTTGACACCAATATCTGGGCGGCTACACCTGCTCGCTCGACAGTTATAATTATAACAATATAGTAAGTGAATCACACCACTGTTTGTTACGCCCTGAGTCTCCGTGTCCAGACTCTTCTTCTGTATGAGGTTAAGATTTGCATGGATCCTTGTATACTGTGTAAGACTTCGAAACCTGGTGTTTTTAGTATTACAAATTCAGTTCGGCTAACATAATATAGTTAAGAATATTCTTTGCTGGGATCTAAATTAATTGATTCATCTCCGAGACTTCCATTAGAAGAAAGTAAAAAAAAGGTGTGTACACCCACTAAAAAATTATTCGGCACCCTTACGGCATGATTCAATATGACACGGGAGCCGAATAAGTGTTCAGTGGGTGTACGAGGTATATATATGGTGACGGTCTTAAATGTTATTAATATTTGTTTTCAATTATTTAAATCTGATGCACGAAGAGCAATGGTACTAATGGTTTAAAATACAACTACAGAGTACGGTATTTCCTCTCCCAATTTCGCTTTAAATTCTAATTACATAAGATTAGTTGACGAATTTTAGTATAACTGCGATTAATAACCGAAAACATCCCCTATACCTTTCAAATGGTAACAGTTGTAGGGATTTAAATATGTCAAACGTCGAAAGACATGACCTTCGGCATATATAAATATGTAAATGAGAAGCGACAGCAACCGTCGTGTCATTCCTTGGTGAGGTGGCATCGAGTATCACTAACGAGTGATTAACTTAATAAAAAAACGAACCGGAGATTCTTAAAAACTGTATGACAAATAACAATAAACTTAGTCAGCGTATTGTTGAGAAGTGGTGAGCAGATCTCTGGGACACTGCACATTTAACTTCAAGAATAACACTGAAAAAAAAAACTTTGTCATGGAGGCTATACAGTATTTATAGGCAAAGGAGTACCTCATCTTGCAGACTGGGGTGTTTGGGGGAGTGTCCTTGAGTGCGTTGCTGTCAGGTACTTTAGCGAGGACTTTACAGCCTTTGCGGCGCTAAACCACAACACGGGGAACACTGCACAGGGAGCAGGTACAGTACATCCAAGCTCCGGCACCGCTGACACTGAGAATACTGACCGTGCGAGACACCTGGGACTCAAGGGTATGGAGGTCGTCATGACAAGGGGAAAATTATACTTAGTCAAGTTTGCATTGGGGTTAATGTCACAACTATTAGCATGTTTGAAGTTAGTAACCTGCACTGACACATGGAGGAAGGGAGGGAAGGCAGGCAGTCCTCTACACCTGGTGAGATAATATTCTATGAGATCTTTTGTATAGAGGGGGCGACGTAATCTCCCCTGGCTTGATTGGTCGTTTACTCCATTTGATCATTTCGCTGCATGAAGTATTAGCTAATTAGATGCTGTTAGTAAGGCGATAATCTACCCAGGTCGGGAGAACAACGGGAGATACTCTCACCAACTTAAGAGCACAGTAAGAGATAGAGAGGCAGACTAAACAAACCTTAGCAGTCTGTGAATACAAATTGATTCAGGCTAATAAAATGCAAGAGGATATGAACATGGCAGGTGAATTATGTACTGAAAAAGAAAGAATAAAAAAAAGATTCAACTCTAATGGCAAATCATTTCATAAAGTGAATGTGTGTTGCAATGCAGTTATGAGAATATTGTTGTATATTTGGTCGTGTTGAATCCTCTCCTCCATGTTGGATCCTCTTGTCTATGTTGGAGACTCATGATACTTGTAATTTATACTTCGATTTGTACTTGTTTATATTTCTTGATAATCGCTCTGACGTTAACTCTACTATATATATTTACCGGAGGGAGATGTGAGACAGGAGAGAGATAGTCAAGTTGATTAACGTCTTTTTAAAAATGAAGTGATTTTATTCTGGGTTTTCATCATCCAATAAAAAAAAACGAAATCCAGAAAATATAAACATATACGAAAAAGTGTGTAGTAGTTACGACAGCCTTTACCCTTGGACCGACCTTATAACCCAAGATCGACGAACTATACAGTATACTCGGACAAAATACCCACTTAGGAAGGGGCCTCAAAAAATACCCACGGAACAATAGTCCTTGAACCAAAACAAAAATAATCATGTGTGTTTGAGCCAGGTCCCCCTCACCCCTTGTCCTATAGGTAAGCCTTGACCCACTTGTGACGTATTGGACACACGGAGAATATATATCACAGTGTAAAAGGCAATCGTACTGCAAAGTGTGACACGTGAATTGAGTATGAAGTATGACACTACTTCGGTAAGTTTGAAAAGAGAAGTTATTTACATAGACTGTAAAATGATATATAGTGAGGTGTTTTTTTTTCTCGATCAGATATATTCAGTTATACTCGGGTTTATTATCTACAGCTGAACTATGGAGACTTTTTTTTATAAGAATTGAATCGTTGGTTTGGATTATAACAGCTCTCTCTCTCTCTCTCTCTCTCTCTCTCTCTCTCTCTCTCTCTCTCTCTCACACACACCACTTCTTTATTTCAGGTTCTTATCATTTAGTTGCTGGTGGCGTGTTATCCCTCTGTTGCCTTTAGTTCCTTACGTTTACAATATAGAACCATGATCATATCACTTAATATCCTTATCATGTAGATAAAATTAATCACTTTATAAAAGAACACAAATCAAACTACAGTAAAACCCCTATTTAACGGACTACATGGAGATGAAATTTCGTTATATAGAAGATCTGTTATATTTGATACCTCCATTAAACGAACTATATAGAGATAATACTCCTTCATATCGAGAGTCCTTTAGATGTGAAATCCTCATCTAACGGATTAAATTGAGAGAAGTCCTTTATATGGAGTTTTCACTGTATTGTTAAAAAAAAATATATAACTACACTATACTGTCACGAAATTCCAACTACAGCGGGAACACAAACTCAGTGCCTCGGCTTTCTGGCCACGATTACTTACGGAATGCAAAAAAACAAACAAAAAACAAATTAAATCTTCCTTGGTTGGCTTGAAGGAAGGGACAGGTCTGGCTGTATGTCTAGAGAGGTTGATTGCACTCGAACCTCTATAGGCATGGAAAAACTCGTACTAAGGACTCGAGTGCTTGGACTCTCATTCCTCTTACTGGTCAGGATAAAATATTCTGTGAACTAAATATATAGTTTGTTGGACCTGAGTCACGCTGAACCATCCTGAACCATACTGAACCACCCTGAACCATACTGAACTACCCTGAACCATACTAAAGCACCCTGAACCATACTAAAGCACCGTGAACCATACTAAACCATACTGAACCATACTGAACCACCTTGAGTCATCCTTAACCATACTAAGCCACCCTGAACCATACTGAACCACCCTACCCACCCTGAGCCACCCTGAGCCACCCTGAACCATACTAAACCATCCTGAACCATAGTGCATCACCTTCAGTTACCCTGAACCATACTGAACCACCTTGAGCCATCCTGAACCATACTGAGTCATCCTGAACCATACTGAACCACCTTGGGCCACCCTGAACTATACTGGACCATTCTGAACCATAGTAAGCCATCCTGAGCCATACTAAATCACCTTGAACCATACTGAGCCACCCTGAACCACAGTTAACCACCTTGAGTCATCCTGATCCATCCTGAACCATACCGAACCATCCTGAACTACCCTGAAATATATAGGTGGAAGATGCTAACCTCCAAAACATCTTCACACACACACACACACACAGACTCTCTGACGTCAAAGGAAGTTTGTCTTCGTCAAACTCTCGGATTCATTAATAATTTCAAACAAACTGTACATCCACTTCCGTAAGTTAAGTGCTACTGCGTCATGGAATAGAATGAATAAAAAGTCTTTGGGAAATCCTGTTATTATAACGCATTTCTTTTGTTTTCATTCACTTTTGGCGTCTTGCTAGAATATTAGTGACAAAGACTAGGTACAGATTGTTTAAAGAGAGTATGGATACCTGATGTTGAATAAAGTAAAACGCGCATAGGTAAACCATAATTATTTATATAAAATAATTTCATGTAGATCCACAATGGAAACATAGGAAAGATTGATCTTGATAACACAACAGAGGCAAACACTGGAGCACGATTAAGGTCACGTGAATGAAAGTATCTGCCACTGTTCCCTGTGCAGTATTGACATATGACAAATTTTATATTTAATACATAGCTTAATGGAGGACGAAATTAGCTACACAGTTCTGTTCACCATGACAATCTTCTCTGGTCAAAAGTTCAAAAATCAAGGTCACAGACTCTTAAGCGTCTGTTTATCTGTGCTGTATCATAAATCCAGAATAATTGACATGCATAGAAATTCACCCGACAGCACCTCAAGATATTTTTAGTCAGAATAATTGGTTAAAGTTAAGATGACCAATAGATACATACATATGTATGTAGATATGCGTGGAAAGAGGTACAACATTCATAACTGGTACAAACATCTATCAAGACAAAATTTTAAACTGAAGTTCACATCTGTGAAAGAAACACCACTCTATACAAGTTGACAGCTTGCTAGTGTAGTTTGTCTTCATGTGTTCTCTGTATACCGCATATATCACTTAACAAAATTATTTTCTTCTGAATATCTCACTTTTAGTATATAGTATTTTCCGATTAAATATTCCTACTTGAATAGTCAAAGGCTACGTTAACATATGTAGATACAATATGTTTATCTTTTACGGCAGTAATTAAGCAGGCTAAAAAGGAGTTATTGATACATAAATACACATGCTAATAATATTCTAGCGTAGTTCGTTACGGGTGGATTCATGTCAGATTTATAAAGGCTCACTTCCATTTATCTCTCTCTCTCTCTCTCTCTCTCTCTCTCTCGTTCCCGAGTGGTTCAAATACTTCCTAGGCCGCTAAGAGAGATGGGGACCGTACATCAAACAATCGTTGCTACCGCAGTGTCTTATGTGTCACATGAACGATGTTATCAATAACACATTTCCTGTGTCATTGTCGAAACTGCAACTAAGCGAGGAGGCGGCTCCAGGCCATCGCCCCAAGGGCAAAAACACCGAAGGGCCGATAAGACACTTCGGAGAAACCCAAATTCTTGGTGAAAGTGATTAGATGGTCGTGAGAATAATTTTATATTTGTTATATATATATATGTGTGTGTGTATACATGTATGAAGTTTATGTTTATGTATGTGCATAGTAATAATAATAATAATAATAATAATAATAATAATAATAATAATAATAATTAACGGTTTATTGAAAGGGCTTGGCAGCCAGAAGGCTGAAAATATACAGTTACATATTTGGGGAATGGGTTTCGAATTACAAATAATATACAAGTAACATAAGTGACACAAATAAGACATATAATAACTAGATGGGGAAAAGCTCAAACTACAGTTCATTTCAACATAGTGACAGTGCAAGGAGTAGTGTTTACTGGGAGTGAATACACTGGTTTATTACAAGTTATTGATAATTTTTACAATGGTTGGGACTGGGCTGTTCTTATAGCGATCAGTTCGTGCACGTATGGGCTGGATGCGGTTGTGGTGTCGAACAGCAATTCTCGGACTAGGGATCTCAGGTGGTAGTAGGAGCCGGTATCGAGGATGGTGTAGAAGCTTCTTACCAAATTTGCAGATGAGGTCGTGGTGATGGTCAGTGAGAGTCGAAAGGGTCAGTGTGTTGAGCGCTTCTTGATATGTGGAGTAGGAAGGGAGAGAATAATCTTGCATGCCCTCTTTTGCACTTTTTCTAGGTGTTTACGTTGTGTGGCATTTAGGAGGAAGACCAGGTGGGGAGGCATAGGTGAGCTTGGGAAGTATGAATGTTGTGTAAACACTGAGGAGCTCGGGTGCAGGAACTCCGAGGGACTTGAGTCGGCGGAGGAGGTGGAGACGGAAACTGGAGGATTTGACAACTTCACTGACGTGTGGTTTCCAATTTAGTTTGTTGTCTATGGTGACGCCGAGGAGCTTCGTGGAATCTACAACCTGGAGTGTGTTCGGACCTAAAGTAATGGAAGGGGGTTGGACAACGTCGGAGGAGATGTTGATGTGCATAACTATGGTCTTGGTATGGTTGATGGTGACGTGGTTGTTGGTGGCCCAGTTTTGGAGACTGTTCAATAAATCCTGAAGGGCGGTATAGTTGGGAGCAGAATTGTTGACGCTGATCCCAATGGTGGAGTCGTCGATATATTTATGTGGGTTATACGTAGGTTGTAAAAGAAGAGCTATGAAGTAGACTCCTGAACAAAACTAAACTAAAGAGAGATGACCTGATTTCGTGAGAGTCGGGGGGGGGCAGAATCCCACCTTAGAAATTAATTAATGCTATTGATAAACCATTATATACACATTAGTCATCAGACCGGTTCATTGGGTTATTCCCTGTAACCTACAAGAGTGACTCCTGAAGTACAGGTGCTGCTCTGATGGTGATATAACTATCCCCTACAGATTCCAGGTTGACTTGACACCAATAAATCCTACACAAATCCGAGGAACATATCAGGACCAGTTTAAGAATTTATACAAGCCAAGTGCTGGTGCTCTCTCATTAATTAGATGCAATTTCTCATATCAGGTATGAATGTCGCTACAAGTGATAATTTAAATTTGGTGTAGGTGTTTTTAGTATGTTTCTGTACAGCCTCTAGAGAGGTCGTCAGATCCACAGCACTCGCATAACCTGCAAACTTTCTTAGTAGCGACGCCTCACGGAAGATTTGTATCCCCTCGGCTATCTCAACCAACAGGATGAGGTGTTGAACTTGTTTCCGCTGCTGGTTGTATTATAATCTTGCAGAATTTCTACAGTGATCCCTTCATAGTGTCTTGTAGTGACCACGCAAGCTAGTTTATTATGTCGGGAGTATTTCGTTTGAGGTCAGCAGCATACAGGAAACTGGTGTTGTATGTGAAATGTTATATTTTATCATTCAGAATGGATGCGACTGGATTGTATATAATTATATGAGAACAGCTTGCCATTATCCTTAACTATAAATACGTAGAAACTTCTCAGTGGTATACATCAAATTATTCATTTTATCTCTCAAATACTCGCCATTTAAAATTCTAAATTATGGGAATTTATTTAAGTAAGTTCAAGTTTAGTGAAAGCTACAGTAGTGTTTTTATTCTCTTGTTTAGGAGTGTTAGGGCCACCGGATATGTCAGTCGAAGATAACGCTAACGTCATATCCTCTCTCTCTCTCTCTCTCTCTCTCTCTCTCTCTCTCTCTCTCTCTCTCTCATATTGTTTGGCGTCCCTCCTATCTATAGAGCCTTTCTTCCCATTCTATACAGCACATCTCCCGCCTTCTACCCATCCCTAGATCCTTCAGAGTAACTTCATCTCATATTGGCTTTAGTTTATACTTTGAACATCCTTCTCCACCTCCCTCAGATTGGCGATGTTGACGGTGTGTGTGGTGGTAACGAGAGGCATCACATGGGAGGGGAAGTACGACGTCTGGACCACCAACCAGGTTAGTGAATCTTCTTCTTTATTAACTCTGTTGATTAACCTTTCTGATGATGACACTCTTCCTCCGCCCCCCTCTACGTCTTCTTCCTGCTCGTCCTCCTCCTCTTCTTCCTCTTTTTTTCTCGTTATTGAAGAAAATAAATACTTTTTTCAATAGCAAAGATCCGATATTGTTATTTTTCTCCAATGTTAATGGTATATTATAGTTATGAATTCGTGCGATGTGAAATATATATTTTTCTTGGTCTGTTATTGAAAGTTATTGATGAATTTGTGATTTTTTAGTTCGATTTTTTTTGTTCGTCTTCCTCTCCTCTTTTATTTTCTAGAATATTTTTGTAATCTTTCTTCTTCTTTTTTTTCTCTCGTCTTTCTTACTCTCTCTATCGGCCATCCTTCTATATATTCTCTTATCTTTATTATCTATCTCCCCTTCTCCAATACCAAATGTTCACCTTCTTCTCAGTTCTCATATATTCCCTCTTGGTCTCTCTTCACACGGTGAGTCCAGAGGCCAGGTTTGAGGAGTAAAGCTTTTGAAGAGGGTCGACAACGGTGTTACTGTATGATGAAAGGTAAATTGTAAATCATTATCCATTGTAGAATTATCTTACTTTGTAAATCATTATCCGTTGTAGAATTATCTTGCATTGTAAATCATCAGCCATTGTAGAATTATTATAAATTGTAAATTATCATCCATTGTAAATTATCTTCCATTGCAAATGATTATACATTGTTAATTATTATTCGGTGTAAATTATCATCCATGCATTTATTATCCATTGTAAACTTATCATCCACTGTAAATTTATCCTCCATAGTAAATCATGGGGATAGGTATGGATTGTTTTTTGGGATCACCTGAGGATTAACACACCCCAGCCCATTTTACCTTAAGATTATCCATCCTAAAGCTAATCTTAACTTAACTTAACCTAATCTAACCTCACCTAATCTAACTTGACTTAAGCTAACCTAATGTAACTTAATCTAACCCTATTTAACGTAATCTAACTTGATTTAACTTACTCTACCAACCTAACCTAATCTAACCTCACTTAATCTAACTTGACCTTACCTAATCTAACTTAATCTAACTTAACCTTTTCTAGCTTTATCCTAACCAATACTAATCTAACAACCCAACGTAATCAGATTAAACTTAACCTAACCTAACCCTCCTCACAAGTAGCGTTAGGGTGTTTACTCATCAGGTGAAAGAAGCTGTTGAGAGGGGAGGGGGGATGCTAATCTTCACGTCATCTGATACTGGATTAATAGGTATCCCGTAAGCATCACTTTCATGTCAGACTCTAGTGGTGTTTTTCGTTTTCTTCCAGCGGCCGTCAACATGAACTCGGCTACTGCTCCAACCACCACAACTACCACCATTACGCCAACTACCACCATTACGCCAACTACCACCATTACGCCAACTACCACCATTACGCCAACTACCACCACAACTGTACCAACTGCTACTTCAACCACTACTACTATTACTACTACTACTATTACTTCTACTACTACTACTATTACTACCCTCCCAACAACCACACCAACTACTACCTCAACCACAACCCTCCCTACAACCACACCAGCTACCACCATAACTACAACAACCACAACTACAAACCTCCCCACAACTACACCAACTACCATCTCCACCACAACTACAACCACAACCACCACAAGTACTTCCACAACCACCACAAGTACTACCACAACCACCACAAGTACTACCACAACCACCACAAGTACTACCACAACCACCACAAGTACTTCCACAACCACCACAAGTACTACCACAACCACCACAAGTACTACCACAACCACCACAAGTACTACCACAACCACCACAAGTACTACCACCCAATGCTCCCCAACCACCACAAGTGCTCCCACAACCACAAGTGCTCTACCACAACCACACAGTACTCCCTTACCACAGTACACAGCCACCACCACCCTACCACAACCACAACCACCACAACAACCACCACAAGTACTACCACAACCACCACAAGTACCAGCACAACCACTCCCACCACAAGTACTACCACAACCACCACAAGTACTACCACAACCACTCCCACCACAACTACAACCATACAAGGTAACCATTTTCTCTGTGGACAATACAAATTAAACGTGTCACAAATTGTTATAACAGATCATCAGTATCTACATACACCTGTACAATTACCTGTCTCTCTCTCTTTCTCTCTCAGGGTGTAACGTAACTTACGAGGTAGAACCGGGATCCAAATATACCTGGAATACCCCAAATTACCCGAAAGCGTACCCAGAAGATATCACCTGCAGCTTGGAAGTAAAGGTAAGTTTAATGCGACGTAGTGCAACTTAACACAAGAGTGGTTCTCTAATATAACATACAGATGAAGTAGAATGTGAAGAATAAAAAAAAAAATACAAATGATAAGAATGAAAACTATATTAATGATATTGTAATAGAATAAAATAGTTGCAATAATAATAGTATTGATACCATTATAATGCAGTCAATAATAGTAATGATAATAATAATAATAATAATAATAATAATTAGAACTATAATATTATTAATAGTATTATTAGTTATTAATTTTCAGTCTAATAAAGCAGTTATTCACTATCTCTCTTAACAACAAGTTCACCAACATAACTCCTTCACGTTCTCAACCAATATTATCCTCCTCTCACACGTAAATGTATTTTTTGTCAGATATCTCAGCAGGGGGTGAAGGCGGTGCTCTTCATAAATGATGGTTATATCTACTCCCAAAGACGTCGACCCAGGAGGTGCCCACACGACTACCTCTCCGTGACGGGGGAAACGAGAAAGTGAGGATTAACTGTCTTCCTTCGTCTTACCATGTTGTTTAAGGGTCTTGTCGTATGCACACGTTGGACGAGTGAGGAAGTCCTATGTCTTGTGGTTATAAGCGAGGTTCAGAAGTTAGACCCTAGAGTTACATCATTAATTTTCATACGTAACTTTGCCTGACTGAGGATGTGTTCACTACTGTACAGAAAATGTCAATAGGTGTGTGAGATGCTGTAAGACCACTTTATGGTATAGTTATTAGCCTCCCTGTATGGAGCTAAGGTTACAGAGGCACCCGGTTTACATGTACCGGTCGTCACGAGATACAACTTGGTATAGTATCAGTGAGAGGTGTAGGTATAAGCCATCAATGTTTCTTTTCCTTTTGTGTTGTGTCTAGCAACTCTTGTGTTAACATTAGTTTATCACCATCCCTCTCGTGTTACCATCTCCTGTATCACCATCCCTCTCGTGTTACCATCTCCTGTAACACCATCCCTCTCGTGTTACCATCTCCTGTATCACCATCCCTCTCGTGTTACCATCTCCTGTATCACCAGCCCTCTCGTGTCACCATCTCCTGTATCACCAGCCCTCTCGTGTTACCATCTCCTGTATCACCATCCCTCTCGTGTTACCATCTCCTGTATCACCAGCCCTCTCGTGTCACCATCCCTCTCGAGTCAAGGTGAACACATAAGAGGTGGTGACCGTCACCACCTCTTATGTGTTCATCTCACCATTTCCTATCTCACCATCCCCTCTCTGACGTCTCACCATCCCTATGTCACCATCAGGTACTGCAATAAAGTGACAGATAGGATGTGGACGGTTGAGACAGCAAACGTTCAGCAGAAGACGTTTACCGTGATCTTCCTCTCCACTTCCGCCGATGGTAACCGAGTAGGAAGGGGCTTCACCATGACAATTACAGGTCAGTGTGTGTGTGTGTGTGTGTGTGTGTGTGTGTGTGTGTGTGTATTCGCACACAGGTTGGTTAAATGTGTCTAGTGTGGCAGCATTATGGAAGTGTTAAGGTGCAAGTACTGCTTGCTCCCTCTCGCTTTCAACTACCGCCGCTGGCTAACCCTCGTGGCGAACAGGGAAGCAACTTGCATAAGTCTTCCACTGCTAGTACACAGCCTTTTCATCATCAAGTCTCCTGCTGTGGCAACAAACGGTAACTGGGTGCCTCGTGGGCCCAGTCTAGACAAGCAGGGGATCTCGGAGTAGCAATGGTCCTGAGAGGGACGGCGCAAAGACCTACTGGCATGTGGACACGTCCTGGCGCCTACCAACCACCGCCCCGCTGCCTTTGCAGATTAAACGTGGTAGGTATAAGCCTACGGCAGTAAACCCCAAACGAAAAATCCGTGGTAGAGCGCCGCATCAGGCAGACAAGCTTACAGAACGGTATAGGCGGATAAGGTGACCAACATGGGAACCCAACAACAACACCAGCGGACGAAGGCAATTCCTGATGGACAGGCAACTAAGGCGAAACCAAACAAACTGGTATATTGGCAGTCCATTGCAACTCTCCCTCTCCCCAGTCGTTGCAACACTTGCACCACTGGATCAGGAAAAGGGAGAGCCAAGATGTGTGGTTGCAGCCTGCGTTCCTGCTTCACCACATAAAACACTCACGCGCAGCCATCACCCAGCTCATACCCCCAAAGTCCTATGGCGACGGACGAGTGGCGACGGACAGGCCAAGATGACTGCCAGGAATCTCTAGTCACAACTCTGCACATGGGCAGCACGCTTATGCACGGGGGTCTAAGCAGGAGTGCAATCCGGTCCTGTCTCTGGGACTGACCAGCCCTTTCAAGGAGCTACTCTGCTCCTCCCACATGAAGAGGGAGCTAGAAAAGGTGCTCTAAGCATAGCCTGCCATAAAAACAAACCTGACTGGGTAACTGCACCCAGTAAGGTCATCCTTTTGTGGTCAAAAACACAATAAAAACCAGATCCAAACAAAAACTAAATATACAACCTCTTCTGGTCGCTGCATGGAATGTCAGGAGCCTTCTGGATACTGACACAAATGAGCGTCCTGAAATAAGAACCGCCCTTGTGGCAAGAGTTGGCTAGGCATAACATCGACATAGCAGCCATTAGTAAGTCTCAGCTCCCAGCCGAGGGTCAACTAACAGAACGGTGGTCTGGCTTTACCTTCTTCGGGGAAGAGAGAGAGAATTTATGGAGTTGGCTTTGCCAACTGTCAACGCACACTGCAGAGGTGACTGAAATGCCTATTGGGATCAACGAGCGCTTCATGACGCTTCGAGTCCCACTGAGTCACTCGTCATTCCTTTTTCATCAGTGCATACACCGCAACACTGGATGCAGAGGATGATATCAAGGAGGCCCTTTACGTCGACCTCGAAAGAGTGCTATCCTTTATCCCCAAATAAGATAAGGTTGTCCTCCTTGGTGACTTCAATATCAGAGTTGGCAGAGATGCTGACATTTGTCAGGGAACCATAGGGAGAAATAGACTAGGTAAGTGTAATCCCAACGGCTTACTCCTCCTCCTAAGCAAGTGTGCTACACACACAACCTCACTATCACCAACACCTTGGTTAGGCAGGCCGACAAGTTCAAGGGTTCGTGGCAACACCCACGATGCAAACACTGGCATCTCATTGACATCATTGTCAGAAAAAGAGATCGCCGAGATGTCCTCATCACCTGTGTCATGCGTGGCTCAGACCACTGTGACACTTATCATCGACTTGTCAGAGCCAAGCTCTCACTTCACGCCGCCCCAAAACGGCAAAGGCAGCAAGCCTCCAGAAGAGTTTTTAACACTCAGCATCTGGAGAATCTAGCAGCAGCACATGCTTCCAGAGAGCAGCGAACACGGGCTGATAAACAACCCGACAACAAACAACCCAAACCCCTGTGCCGAATGGGATATTCTCGACACTGTCAGGACAAAAACCTGCAGGGACCCTCGGCCAGATCGAAAGAATGCACCAGGACTGGTTTGATGAAAATGACCCGGCAATCAATGTACTCATAGATGATAAACGTGCTGCTCTGACTGGCAGAACAACCATCAGTCTCGGACCTAAGCTGATATCTTCTGCAAAAAGAAAGCGAATGCCCAGCAGGAACTTTGCAGTCTATAGAAAGAGTGGTTTAAAAATAAAGCATATAAAAAAAAACGCAAAAAATTGCTTATCAGCAGAAGATGTACGAAATTTTCAATTCTACTAAAACATTTTATAGGCCAATCACTCGTTGCGCAGCCCCTCTCCGATCATCCATTAGTTAACTCCATAATTGATGATTATGTAGGCCTCCTTCAGTGCAGGAAAGAGCATTACCATTCACTGCTCAACCGAAACACCAATGTGGATATCCTGACTACCCAGCAGGTCCCTCAGCATCCAGAGCTGACCCACCTCGGCTATCCTCCATCCCTGGATGAGGTAACTACTGCCATCAAACAGATGAAAAATAACAAAGCCTCAGGGCCTGATGGAATCTACTGTGCCGATTAGTATAAAGCAAGGGGACCTCTGCTTACTAGCCGTCTCCACTCTCTCTCGGAGAATATATGGGAAAAGAAGGAAATCCCTCAAGGTCTTAAAGACGCCTCCATCGACAATATTTATAAGAACAAGGGAGACCGGTCAGACTGTGGCAACTACTGTTGGATCTTGCTGCTGTCCTTAACTGGCAAGATTATCGACAGAATTCTCCAAAACATATTTCTTCATAAAGCAAAAAACTTCCTTCCAGATTCTTAATGTGGCCTTACACCATCATGTGGCACCACCGACATGATCTTTGCTGCCCGTCAGATACAGGAAAAGTACAGAGAGCAGCATCGTGACCTGTACATGACTTTCAACTACCTAACCAAGACTTTCCAATCGGTCAACAGGAAAGCGAACGCTCAGTCGTTTTGGCTGCCCACCAAAATTCATTGCCATTGTGAGGCAACTCCATGATGGCATGAACGGTAGTGTCCTACACAATGGCACCCAGTCTGATTTCTTCCCTATCCTAACTGGGGCTTAACAAGGGTGTGTACCGGCACCAACTCTCTACTATATTTTGACTGTCTTCCTTACTCGTGCCAGCGCCAATTTAGCCGGCGGGGACATCCAGTACCGGATGAAGGGTCTTTTCAACATAAGACGACTTCAAGCAGGAACAATGGTGTCGGCACCTTCCATTACTGAGCTTCACTAGGCAGACGACCTCACCCTTGTCGCTCACACTGAACGCGACCTACAGGAGATCCTGAACACCTACACAGATTCACACTTCGGTCTTGAGGTGAATGTACGTAAGACTCAGATTGTCTTTCAGCCTGCCTCTGGTTCAGACACACCTCCACCATCCAGCCAGCTTAAGGGTATTACCCTCTCTAATGGTGCCCACTTTCGGTGTCTTGGCTCCCACCTGTCCACCGCCGCGGACATCGATGAAGAGATACAGCATCGGATCAGATGTGCATCTCAAGCCTTTGGCAGACTCGGAAATCATATATTCAGCTGTAGGGAGCTGAAAATATCGACGAAGTTACACGTATACCGAGCAGTGGTCTTCCCTACCCTGCTATGATGCAGCGAGACATGGGTCACACACAGGAGGCACATCAAGGCATTTGCAAACATTCACCATCGTAATCTACGTTCCATCCTCCAAGTTCGCTGGGAAGACCAGAGAACAAATGCCTGTATTCTTGCCGACACCAACTGTAGAAGCATCGGGGCTACCATTATCCATGAACAACTGCGCTGGACAGGGCATGTTACCTGCATGGACGACAGTAGACTGCCAAAGCAGCTACTTTACAGTCACCTAACGAACAGTAAACGTAACTTTCGCGGTCAACTAAAAAGGTATAAGGATAGTCTTAAGACAAACCTGAAAAGTGCCAAATCGACCACCTCACCTGAGAGACGATTACTCCACCCTGTAACGCTTGGAGGATCACCACACAAGGTGTCAATACGATTGAGTTAGCCCGAATGCATAACGAGGCAGACAAGCTCCAACGTCGATAAGACGCTGCCTCCGCCCTCCCACACAAGATGTAGCCCCCCCACATTTGCAACACCTGTGATCGACCCTGCCGGTCCCGTACCGGCTTCTTTAGTAACCACAGAACTCGCCAACCTAGGTGACATCCCTAATAACTCGTATCATTGTATCATAGCTGGATGATCGTGATACTCGATTCCGAGTGACAGCAAAGTAGTAGTAGTAGTGGGTGTGTAATAATAATAATAATAATTAACGGTTTATTGAAAGAGCTTGGCAGCCAGAAGGCTGAAAATATACAGTTACATATTTGGGGAATGGGTTTCGAATTACAAATAATATGCAAGTAACATAAGTGATACAAATAAGATATATAATAACTAGATGGGGAAAAGCTCAAACTACAGTTCATTTCAACATAGTGACAGTGCAAGAAGTAGTATTTACTGGGAGCGAATACACTGGTTTATTACAAGTTATTGATAATTTTTACAATGGTTGGGACTGGGCTGTTCTTATAGCGATCAGTTCGTGCACGTATGGGCTGGATGCGGTTGTGGTGTCGAACAGCAATTCTCGGACAAGGGATCTCAGGTGGTAGTAGGAGCCGGTGTCGGGGATGGTGTAGAAGCTTCTTACCAAATTTGCAGATGAGGTCGTGGTGATGGTCAGTGAGAGTCGAAAGGGTCAGTGTGTTGAGCGCTTCTTGATATGTGGAGTAGGAAGGGGAGAGAATAATCTTGCATGCCCTCTTTTGCACTTTTTCTAGGTGTTTACGTTGTGTGGCATTTAGGGAGGAAGACCAGGTGGGGGGAGGCATAGGTGAGCTTGGGAAGTATGAATGTTGTGTAAACACTGAGGAGCTCGGGTGCAGGAACTCCGAGGGACTTGAGTCGGCGGAGGAGGTGGAGACGGAAACTGAAGGATTTGACAACTTCACTGACGTGTGGTTTCCAATTTAGTTTGTTGTCTATGGTGACGCCGAGGAGCTTCGTGGAATCTACAACCTGGAGTGTGTTCGGACCTAAAGTAATGGAAGGAGGTGGGACAATGTCGGAGGAGAGGTTGATGTGCATAACCATGGTCTTGGTATGGTTGATGGTGACATGGTTGTTGGTGGCCCAGTTTTGGAGACTGTTCAATAAATCCTGAAGGGCGGTATAGTCGGGAGCAGAATTGTTGACGCTGATCCCAATGGTGGAGTCGTCGACATATTTCTAGCGAGCAGGGGTTTCTCTTAGGGCATCATTGATGAGCATAAGGAAGCAGAGTGGTCCCATCTTGGTGCCTTGGGGACGCCACAGGTGAGTGACTGAAAGGTGGAGACAGCCCCTCGGAAGCGTACAGCTTGGCGTCGGTCACTGAGGAAGTCTGTAAGCCATGGTATAAGACTTCTCCGAAGCCCGAGGTCAATAGCTTTGTTGATGATTATATTGTGGTCGACTAGGTCGAATGCTTTAGTGAAATCAATGAAGGCGACAGCTACAGACGTTTTTCGTTTCTCGAGATGGCGGTATATGTAATCGAGAAAGCTGACAAGACAGTGAGTGGTGGAGGAAGTTTTCATATTGCCAAATTGCTGAGGGTCTACGACTCCTGCAATATCAGCATAAGCCCAGTCGAACACAAAACTTTCACAGATTAGGCTGGGTATTGGGGTGATTGCAATAGGTCGTAGCTGATTTAAGGATTGTGGGCTGGTTGACTTGGGCACTGGTGATACATAAGAGGTCTTCCAGTCAGCTGGGCATCTGGCTTGACTGAGAGAAGCATTGATGATGGAGCATAGGGGTTTAGCAAGCTCCGGGGAGAACTCCTTGAAGAGTTTCATTGGTAAGTCAATGGGGGTGGTAGAGCGTTTTAATTTTAGTTTGTCCAGGCGTTTTGCTACTTCAAATTCTTCTACTAAGTCAGTGGGAAGGGGGGCTGGTAGGTAAGCAGGGAGAGTGGTTGTGTCAAGCCGGGGAGCGTCTGGCATATAGTAGCGAAATGGTTATTTGATTGCTCAGCTGCGTCAACATTAGTGAGATGGCTAAGGAAGGGGAGGGGGTGTGTCTTATTGTTTAGTCCACAGAGTTCTTTAAGCTTACCATACCATTGACTGATGTTGGTCTGCTTCAGGTGTTGTAATTTGGTTGGGTAGTGGGACTTCTTTGCAGTGCGTATTTCGCGGATGACTCGGTTGCGAAGGGACCTGTAGCGGATGTGGTCATTGAGATGAAAGGCTCTGTCTCTCTGTTGCATAAGTCTTTTGATCCGAGATGTGATCCGAGTGTGTGTGTGTGTGTGTGTGTGTGCCTCTCTCTCTCTCTCTCTCTCTCTCTCTCCGTGGTCGTTTGGGTTATTTTTATTTATTTTTGTTTACATTCGTGTTTGTTTTTTGTTGTTTATGAGTATGATACTATCTCTCCTACCTTTCTCACTGTCTCTTGTCCTTTCGTCTCTCCTGTGTCTCGTAGCTGACAGTCAAAAAGGGTTTATATTTTATTGTTGTTTTATTCTTCTGTGATATAATAAGATTTTCTATTATTGGTCTTCATAAGATAAAAAAAATCTTTTATTTCAGGATCAAATATCTGATGACACTCTTGAAGTCTGCCTGTAACATAACCACCAGAAGTTAACATCACCATGAGAAATAAGGTAACAATACCACTAGTAGTTAACAACACCACTAGTGTAGTTAATATCACCACCAGTAGTTAACATCACCACCAGAAGTTAACATCAGCATGAAAAGTCAACATCACCGCCTAATATCAATAATAATATAATGATGATATTTATATATATCTGTGTATTAAACGACATCTGAACTTTTATCTTCATCTTTTTTTTTTTGAGGTATGGAGTCAAGTTTCACCAAAATAAAATAATATATATATTTTTTATTCTAACTTTACATAACAGCTGATGAGTTGACTGGATGTATTTCACTATGTATAAAAGGTCAAATAACTGACACCTGAATTTACCATTGTGTTTCTGCGTTCAAGAGATATTGTTTGTCGAGTATAAAGAAATAAAATACTAATTATTGTTATTATTATTATTATTGTTATTATTAGTTGTAGTCGTAGAAGTATGGTAGCTACTTCTGTATTAGGATATTTAAATTTAAGGTAATAAAATGGCGGTGAAGGTGTGGCTATTGGGGGAGGCTGGAGGCCACGTAAAAAAATAGTAGTATTAGTATCAACTGATTAATTATTATTATTTGTAACAGTAATGATACTAGTAGTAGTATTAGTGGTAATTAACCATCACAGTTCGAGTGATACACCTGTCTTGATGTTAATGTCTAAAAATGTATATGCGTGAAAAATCTGACGGCTAGGACGTCACCAACTGGCGGTCATCCATTGAGGTGCAGCTGTGAAACTCCAGTGAATATGTGCAGGTATTCTATATATTCCCGGCTCTGTGGCAATCCGACCCACCCTCATCAACCTTATTTACCACACACACACACACACACACAGACAGACACACACACACACACGTAACCGTATGTAGATATATAGATATGTATTTACTATCACACATATACCACCATATACGTTTTTGTAAACATGTGCAATCATACATACTAAGTCATACCTGTGCATACATACATATATACACACAAACCCACCATCAGACATACATACACTTGAAGCATAACAAAGAGAAATACAAAAATGTGAAAAAGAAAGATTTGGGAGGGGAGAGAAAGAGTTTGAGAGACAGGAAACGAAAGAGAGAGAGAGAGAGAGAGAGAGAGAGAGAGAGAGAGAGATGTCTAAAATCTTCATGATTTTGAATGGGGTAATAAGAGAAGTGAAAAGCAAGAATGAAAGAGAGAGGAGCAAACGTTGTTGAATTATGATACGATATGCAAATGAGAAACGAGTCAGTTGTGGTTTGGAAAGGAATTTACAAATGATAATGAATGAGTTTGAAGAATGTGTACCAAGAGAACATGACAGCATGAACGAAAGCAAAATGATGAAAATATACCCAAAAAAAAAAGGAGAAATAAAGATAAGTCGAAATGGAATAGAAAGTTTGACGGTCACCTTTTATTTTCGTTTTAATAAACTACGTGCATCATAAGAGAACTTTCTTTATGCACCTAACATATCATTGACTCCTTGACATACATACCTTGTGTAACCCATGATGTGTGTGTGCTAAATAGGGATACTCGCCGAATAACCGTTAAAAAGCAACAGACATTTTAGCCAAATACATATAACTTTTATTTTTTATTGTTAGCTTAGGTTGGGTTTTCTATGAGATTTTTCACTTAAGTGTTTTTTATCTTTAATGATCGTCTATAGCCAGTGAGAAGTTTCCCCAAAAGAAATACATTGAAGTTGTTGCTATTAGGCGATTATCCCTCCTTAGTGCAACACACACATGTACAGTGTATATAATTTCGTCATAAACTAACTTTAAACTGACACAAAAATTAATGGAGAATGTTCGCTCGCTGTCTGGGTTATTATATAGCCCCTACATATGAAGGCAGGCAACATACAACCTTAAACCCCTGCTGGTAGCGGCGAGGATACCACAGGTGAGCCTCGGGACACCTCCGGAAAAGACACCTAGATACTACGAACACGACATTTGCCATGAGCTACACACACACATGATCCATCACTACGAAGGGTCATTAATACTGGTCAAGTATTCAGATGAAAGTCATTCCGGCACGAACTCCCAGAACTGAAAGGGCTTGCGGGGAAACACTTGTGCCCCGGGTTGAGTCATATCGAGTCCAGGTGGCAGTCGTACTAGGGCGGAGGTCGTAGAGAGGAGGTGGTGGTGGTTGCGTCAATGGTCGTGTCTAGTATCAACCGTGATCTAGTGGTAATCGTATCCAGGTATAACATCACGGTAGCTAGGGTAGTAGGAGCATCCCGTAGGTCAGTACTTGGGAGCGCTACTGTCACCCAAGGCTGATAACTTACCTCGGCACTGTCACTCTCCTACAGTTGTAAAGAATCAAACATCACCCAAGACGACATGTTGAGGTGAGATGTGGCTGATTATTCCGTAATTCGAAAGTGATTTGTTACCTGTGATAAGATTTGATAAATGTTTCTTCATATATTTGTGCATGTGAAAGCAGTTTTGTGTGTGTTTTACTTGTGCGGCATTTCTGTGCATAGTATGTGGTCGACGGTGATGCACAGATACGGACAAGTTTTCCGAGATTCTTATACTTATGACACTATGTGGCGTCACGTGCGGGTCTTGTAGGTAAGCGAGATTGGAAATTTAACATCTAACAACTCAGATATTCATTTTCTATGTGTTGTAGAATGCATTTGATACTAAGTACTCGAAATTAAGTTGCATGAATAATATACCTTGTAGTACATAAAGGTGTAACTACCATTAAAAGGGTGTTGAAAAAGTTCCCTTGCGTACGACAACCATTATCATCCAGGTCGGAAAAGGCGGAATAATGGAAAGAATATGCCACCAGTACTTAACTCTCCTGAACCTGACGAAATACACACTGTTGATTCCTCTATTAGAACACCTCTGTTCTTATTTTTATGTACGATATTGGTTGATGTATAAGCAGAATTTCTTTTAATACGAGGTGTTTATAATTAATTATTTTATGTGGTTTGTTCCTACACACGAATAAACACACGCAGACATACATACATACAGGTACATACATATACATAACATAAATACATAACATGCATACATACATACATAACATAAATACATAACATGCATACATGACATAAATATATAACATTCATACTTAACATAAATACATTACATACATAACATACATACTGTATATACATACTGTACATGCATACGTATACATACTCTACATACATACTGTACATGCATACATACTATACGTGTACGTACATACATACATAATGTACACACATACATACTGTACATACATACATTCATACATTTATACTTATACTTATATTGCTTGCTTCATGCTTGCCTTTTTTAGTTACAATACCATGATTACCCAGTATGTAAAGCGTATCAAAAAAGTGTTATCTATAAATCAAGCATTGGTAGTTGAATTATAAGGGGGGCGAGGCGATACAGCTCTCCCCTACTGTCCCGTACACTCCCAGTCGACCCAGATGTGAATGGGTACCTGACTTGGCTGTTGGGGAAGTGAAGGCCATTAAGTACAGTGCCGTGTGGAGTATATAATGGTATCTGTTTTTTTCTACGTTTAGTCACCCCACTACTAACTTAACCTAACCTAACCTAACCTAAACCTCCGGTAGCATTACTACTACTACTACTTTGCTGTCACTCGGAATCGAGTATGACGATCAACCAGCTATGATTCAATGATATGAGTTATTAGGGATGTCACCTAGGTTAGGGAGTTCCGAGGTGATTAAAAGAGGCCGATAAGGGACCGGCAGAGTCTCACGTTCGTTGCACATGTGGAGGGCTGCATTTAGTGCGGAAGGTGCATCGAGGCTATCATTATCCATGAACTACGCTGGACTGGCTATGTTACCAGCATGGACGACAGTAGGCTGTCAAAGCAGCTACTTTAAAGTCACCTAACGAATAGTAAACGCAACGCCGGCGGGCAATTGAAAAGGTATAAGAATTATCTTAAGCCAAACCTGAAAAAGGGCCAAATCGACCCCCTCACCTGGGAGACGATTACACCACATGGTAACGCTTGGAGGAGCACCATACGAGAAGGTGTTCATGCATTCGAGTTATCCCGACTGCAGACCGAGGCAGACAAGAGCCAACGCAGGAAAGACGCTGTCACTGCCCCCAGTCCCCGCACTAATAGCATTAGGATTTTATTAATTAAGGGAAATAAGGTGGATGGAGGAGGGCAAATCTTCATGGGATTCTAAAAAAAATATCCATACCAAAATAGAACTCGGTTTGGTATTTATAAATATTTACGTGTAATTACGTCAGACTGATATACATATTTACCTCAGAGCTGACGAACATAAATCTCTCAATACTGTCGTGTTGCCGTTCATTTGCATAACTTCCCGGTAATTATAATTTATAGGAAAAATTTCTGCACTATTTGAAAGGTGTACGGTATCGATTTTCCAAAGTGAACGATATTATGGTCATCGTATTTTATTGGCTAACCTAACCTTGCTGATACATATTGGGCCCTGGTGAAGTATATTTATTTTTAGATTTATTATACGTACACAACTGACGTATATTAAACAATTCTGATGGTCCCTCTTGACAGTGTTTACAGAAAGATGTATAAACTTCTTGAGAAAATGTTGTTTGCATCTCTTATTTTGTAGTCCTTTATTTGTTCGTGTGAGTGTTTTCTCTACTCTTCAGTGTGTTTCATAAGTGTTTTGACTGTTCGTTTGTGAGAATTACTCCTCTTGTTATTGTTCATTTGAGTGTCTCTCGGAGTATCGTTTCAGTAGTTCGGGGTCTCAGTCTTCCAGCATCTTGAAGTCTCAGTCGAGGAATGGAACTTTTACCTTTGACTGTACTGTACGTTCTAATGTTATCTACTTTGACTGTACTGTACGTTCTAATATTATCACCTTTGACTGTACTGTACGTTCTAATATTATCACCTTTGACTGTACTGTACGTTCTAATATTATCAACTTTGACTGTACTGTACGTTCTAATATTATCACCTTTGACTGTACTGTACGTTCTAATATCAACTTTGACTGTACTGTACGTTCTAATATTATCACCTTTGACTGTACTGTACGTTCTAATATTATCAACTTTGACTGTACTGTACGTTCTAATATTATCACTTTTGACTATACTGTACGTTCTAATATCAACTTTGACTGTACTGTACGTTCTAATATTATCAACTTTGACTGTACTGTACGTTCTAATATTATCAACTTTGACTGTACTGTACGTTCTAATATTATCAACTTTGACTGTACTGTACGTTCTAATATTATCAACTTTGACTGTACTGTACGTTCTAATATTATCAACTTTGACTGTACTGTACGTTCTAATATTATCAACTTTGACTGTACTGTACGTTCTAATATTATCAACTTTGACTGTACTGTACGTTCTAATATTATCACCTTGGACTGTACTGTACGTTCTAATATCAGTTCGGGAATGGTGATGGTAAATCCTCGTATCTCTCCCTCAGGCTGCTGTTGGTGGTAGTCGTGGCTCTGCTGGTGGTGGATTGCCAGGCTGGCTTCACCGACACCACTCGCTACCAAATTTGGGCCGCTGATCTGGTATGGCTTTACTGACTCTCTCTCTCTCTCTCTCTCTCTCTCTCTCTCTCTCTCTCTCTCTCTCTCTCTCTCTCTCTCTCTCTCGCGTGGCACCAACAGAATATTATTTAAGAGTAGGTTAATGTGCTTCTCTACAGACAAACATAGGTGCATGATCAACCAAAATGTATCGCAAACGCTTAAGCTTCTAACTAAGAATAAATACTACACGTCGGACCAGACTGGAACACCAATTAAATTAACAAGTTTATCAACCTTGTGTTGACATCCCTGTTTCTCATTTTGTTATGTTGGCAGCCCTGTGACTAATCTTGTGTTGGCAGCTCTGATAATCTTATGTTGGCAGCCATGTGACTAATCTTGTGTTGGCAGCCTTGTGGCGATTCTGTATAAATAATTGGGGTTTCACTTCGCCCCACACAGTGCAGAGGGAAGTAATCATAATATGTAATTTTCTGTCCAACAAAAGCAAGGAATAAGATCTTAAGTGTGTACTTCTCCTCGCCACAGAAGCCGGGGTTCATCATTGAGTCGCACCAGATACAGGGTCAGCGCTGCTACTGCAAGGTGCCATGGGCCTCCTCGGCCAGCCTACTGCCCCCTTCACTGCCAAGCCTTAGCTTCGACCCAAACTCCGTTCTTACCTCCTCACCCAGTGAGACTTCGAGCTATGAACAAGTAATTCTAAGCAGACCGGAATCGATTAATAACACCGAATACTAGAACTAAAAGAAATCTAAGTAGAGCCCTGGCACGATCTACCATGGCAAAATTCTAAAAAATAAAAGGCAAATATTACTTTGAACGGCGACAATTTAGTCTCCATTACAGCAGCCTTAAGAACGCACACATGAAAACAATTCTTGAAACACTAAATTTCCCCCTACTACTTCCCTATGATTTTACACTCAAAGTGGATCCAGTCGTCCATTGCAGTATTTAGGAGTTCGTGAAGTTAATGCTTTCATGTAGGTATGAGAACAATCTCCTCCACTCTGGTTCAGGTTGTTTTAAAACTCCTCAGCTGTAGTTATAATAGTAACTTATAAAAGATTTGCTCAATACCCGTGTTCCGCGCACCTCATCCCCACCCCTCCTATTATTAAGACATTCCCTGGTGTAAGGCCTTTCCCAATAGTTACGTATGGCATTTGTATAGTAAGTAATTTTTTGTTTTATCCTTAAATATATTAACGAATTCCTACTACACTGTATCTACTGTTAGAAGTAAAATACAAATATACCCGGTTTAGCTGCCCTCAAATGACGTCACATCATCTCGGTATTCAGGCTATCCCAGTTTGTTTGATTTTTCTAGCACAAATATGAGATACAAAAGGGAAACAGTTTGGTAAATTGGTAAATACTCCTTGGTTAGAATCGAATTACAAGAACATTTCTTGGTGTACGCATTATGTGATCCCAAGCTTAAGTAATTAAGGGATTGGACATAACAACTGAGGACACGTTATTCAGGTTGAAATATGCACATGGTTTTAAAACGACATAGAAGAATCATCCCCTTTATACTTTGATACAAAACAAAGCAGCTAACTGTACACGGGCCTCTATAAGACCAGAGACTCATGTCATAAAACATTAACTGAGACTCAACTGGTTTGCAGGTTTGTTTTTCTTTCATCACATAATCAATAACAATGACGTGTACGTATGCACCTTGTATACCTGAGTGTATCAGAATTGAGATTCACAGAAATAAAGGATTGTGAAGGAAATTGTCTCTTCATTTCCACAAAGATTTTCACAGCGTATGTAAGATTCTTTTGTTTCAGATCAAATTTAAAGTCGAAATTTTTCGTTTTTAAATAAGTGAAAAGGAAATTGAAAACTATATTGAATTCAACCAATTATTTAACGAAGGCGCAGTTAAGGGAATAAAATTTGTCACGATGCCGTTTTAAGAATTTGTTTGTGTGTGTGTGTGAGTAAAGAAAAAAATTATAGTGAATCTCTGAACCTAAAGATCAGTGGCATGTTAACTCGGTTTACACCCGTATGTACAACAATACCTGCTGCTTTTTTTTTTACACCTAATTGGGAGGTTTAACGTCTTCTTTACTCATACAGACTCGATAAAAATGCATCCAGCCAACTGTGAGCCACCTGACATAACCTTTTAGAACTTCCAAAATTCTATGACCCCCCCCTCCCGAAAAAGTCACTTGTAAGTATCAGCTGTACTGCGCCTAGTTAATGTGTGTAGACAACATTGCCAGTCAAATCATTACTTCTAGTTAAAATACTGTATGTGGGTAGCTGTATCTATTGCATGTGGATAATTACATCTATTATATGTGGGTAAATGTATTTAGATACCATAACTAATATTCTCTTTACTAGCACTTACGTTGTATTACCTCAGGCTATTAAAAGGTAAACATATATATTATAAATATGTTTTATTTTACAGCATATAAAACAAGGCATTAACTGTTTACATAGTTATGATAAATCAGATACGTCTTCACATAACACCTGTGACCACCATGACTAGCTGAACACTTACAGTAATAACGAGTATTACATTATGGAGAACTTGTGAACCAGGGACTTTACACAAAAATATAACAATCACGTACTAATCAATCACTGATATCAAACTCCATCTATTCATATAATCAATTGTACAGTAGTAAAATAAAAGGCATATTTACAGCTACACACAAAATTTATTACAAATTGATGAACTTATTCTGTCACAGCGTGTTATTTGCTGTTTGAGAGTGACAAGTCGCATATCTTCGTTTTTTTTTTTAAAGATTTAATGGACTTGAGCATTATTTATAAAGGTATATGATATTGTGTAGAAATGCTGTTTTTGATGAATGCAACGCATGGGAATAATATATCAAATATATCTATCACAAAATATTTTTTCCCTCGAGCTGTACAGTACCTGGACTGTGTTATAATGTGATGAAAATGTTCCACCTGGGGAGTGTAATGGCCCATCAGCTGACTGCAAGAAAATTACCAACTTTTTGCTTTGATAAATTTAAGAGACACAACCCTGGACCCGTACAAGCTAGAGTCGTCAAAATCAAACTTGGTCTGTATGTTTACACTGGTAACACTCCTAAGAATTTAAATATAATTGGTGATTGGTGTAAAAATGCACGGGAAGCAAAACTTTAACAGATAGACTAGAGACGATAGATGACACATGAAGCAAGCACATCATTGTACTACAATAATTTTGTCAGCGTATGATAAATTCATCGTAACTTGACAGCACTCCAAAAAATTTCTTCTCTATCACGATAAAATTAACATTAAGTATTGCCAAGGAAAAATATTATCTTTAAATACTGGATTGCAACCAAAGAAGTCAAAGGAAATCCTCGAGGCATTTTAGATATACTGTAGTCAACAATACTCGCCTGAGCACAGCCCCACCCATAACGGTACCCTGGGCTCACAGCCATACACGACAGGTTTACGGAACCGGGCAATGTGTTGATCGCAAAAACTGACTCAACTCTTATACACAGGATCACACTTAATGAAGGATATACATTATACACAGTCTTTATTGCCGGACTCATGATAATGCCCCAGTTTATTTACCAAGTCCAGCTGGTTCTGTAATATAAATGGGACAACTCAAAAAGATGAATATCAATCAATATACTTAAACTTGTTCCATCTAAAATTCTTTCTATTTTTTTCGCTCCAAATCATTAGCTGCACCTCCCACTTCCACTGGCCTGCCTGAGGAGCCAAGTGGGTGATAAACTGACACACTTCTGTGGCTCTTGTGGTAAGAAGCCGTCCACTACCTCATGGTATGGTATGCACTACACCATAGAATATTGATGTGTTATAGTTGCCTCAAGAGAACTTTAGCCTTTCTTTTAAAGTCGGACTTCTTGATCTTCCTTTCTCTTCATCTGGTCGAAGTGTTGACTTAGAATCTGGTAGTCGTTTTGCAACTTTCTTCCAGAAAGTAGTGGCGGTCTTGTCTGTTGATCTGCATTGCAGTGCCCTAAGAGATTTATATCCTGGAAGAAGAGTAAGAACAAAACTTACAAAAGGAACATATTATAATTTCTTAAATATTTTATTTTTACTGATGCCATGTGTATATACTATACTGTATAGCCCTATGAAGCCCGCCAGGTGGATTCAGTAACTGATACAAGGAGTAGCATTATGAGAGAGGTGGAGAATTGATCCTGGGCTCTTGTTTCATAGACGATCTTCCAGCCAACCAACAGGAATACCAACCCTTCCCCATGAGTTGTGGGACGTGAGGACTTAGCCAAGATCCAGGATGTGTGTCGTCACAACTTGTTAGGCTCCTCTTTATAGGGACTTTTACTTCAAGTTCTCCCATTCTAACAGTGACGATTATCTAGGATGCAGGAATAATACTGGGTTGTTTAAGGGACAGATTTAACCACTGCTGCAGACGGTCACCTGAGTCTCCGGTCGGCCAATGTTAGTGTGCCTTTTACTCAAGCGGGCTGGAGGAGACTTCAAGTGTAGCATGGTGTTCAGCACCGAGTGTGAGATCTTTCAAAGCCAGACTTGACCAACACTGGAGCAGGTTCAGATACATTCAGGAGCCAGTGCATGCCCAGTACTTGCCAACAGTGCGTAACAAAGACTTAACCGATCGCCCAAGCGACTAACGAGCCGATCAGTGGTGAAGAGGATAAAAGTAAAAAGTAATAATTCTCCACCTCCCTATGTATGTACCTTCCTTTAACACTATAAATCTTCCGAGGATTTTTTGGTGGGAAAGTGAAAGAAAACCTTATTCTTATACGACTATATAGACATTAATATAATTGAATACGAGTCATCCGAGTCAAATCTGTCTTCGTTATCTGTCAAACAATATCTATAGTGTAATAACTAGTGTCCTGTAACCCATAAAAACTGACTTATTTATTTATACTATTACTTATCTTTACTTATCAGTGTTATAAATATTCTTATCACAAGACGAAGCCTAGAAAACTTAATGCATAAGAAATATTTAAGCTTCCATGAGGATAAAGAGAGCTAGATCATAAGATGGTACTCCATAAAAGTAAGATTGCCAATTATCACAAATTGTATTACCTATACGCAGGCCAGGAGTCGTCATCTTGAGGTACTTGGGAGAAACAGTGTGAACTTGAGACGAGTCTACTACTGGGAGGTCTGCCAGGGGCACCAAGGCTTCCCCTATGAAGGTGTTAGTACGTCCCAGGTTGTAGTCTTTGAGAGTGAACAACAAGAAGCCAGCACGGACCCCATCATCACCCCTGCTCATATCGCTGTAGGAGAGAAAAGTTTAAAATATTTAGGTAATCACAATCTGTTATGAAGTTTAATATAAGTGAATAAGATCTCCATTTTTGCCTTCCTTCCAATTATTATCCACTTATTATACTTCCTCTACAATCAATCTTGAATCAAGAAAAAAAATACTTACAATTCGAATTGTTCCTCATAAACAGCTGGGTCTTGCTTACGCAGGGTTTTGGTCTTGTGGATGGCATGAGGGAACCACTCCTGAGGTACTAACTGAACTTTAACATAGGAATCAACCAACTGACTGTGATGAAGAAGGTGAGGGCCACTACGGGAACTGACACTACAGGCATCACTTTCTACCACAATGTCGCGGGCCATAAGTACGTCTACAATCAGTTTTCCAGGACGAGTGAACAACGTCTGGGGACAAAATATGCATATCATTAACGTGCATTTCAAAGTATGTATACAGAGAATGTTAATTATTTGGGGAAAATAATTAATAAATATAAATTATCAGTGGATTATACTGGATTAGACAGGAACACACGTACTGTGGGTTCGATGCACAGAAAATTAATTGTTTTATACCTAAAAATATTCCATAATTGAACAAAACTATTAGAGAAAAATCTATTATTTTCATTATGTGAACTTCACTAATAACACTCACCTTTACCACAAGTTGGGCTTTTGAAGGTAAAATGTCTTCCACCTGTTCTTCGTGGCGTTCCTGATAATATTTTGCAATCAACGCTTCGGTGGACATTCTGAGACTCTCCAACAACTCTATGAGAGATGTGTATTCTGCGGAGGAAAGTTTCCAACATAACAGTGTGGTCACTCACAACACTAGACACAAGTCGGCAAGAATTATTTCGTTTGTAAAGAATATTGCATCCTTTCAGTAATATAACGCTTTATCATGTATATACACCCTGACTAACTCGCCAACAAATAATTAAATGCTTACCTGTAGTCTGTGCCGTATGCTCGTCTAAACCAATTCCTTCATTTTGTGAGAAGAATCTAAGTGTCTCCTGCAAGATGCTGTGTACACCACCAAAGTAGCTAGCCTTTCTTCCCTGCAATATAAAGAAACATATCATAAGCAACAATCGACATTTTTACTTTGTTATATATTGTACTATGTAAATAATAATCAATCCTAAGGGTTATAAATACGACTCGAAATGCACTTTTTTTTAGAATAACTAGTAAAAAAAATAGCCTAAACTCTTACCTCTGAATTTTCAATGACAGTGGCGTGGAATATATCAATAATGACCTCCCACACACGCCACAAGAACCTCTGGAAGTTGGAGGTGTGCAGGTGGGTGTGAAGGAGTTTGATGGCAGGTCCAAGAACCTCAGCCAAGAACGGGGCTGCATTTTGTATATCACAGGCTTGATTTACAGTTCTCCTTAGTGTGGGTCTTATCTGTTGAAGAGAATTTTGGGGTAATTATCTCTTATAAATAATTTAAATGTCATCTGAAAACTAATAACTTGCAATTGCTAATACATATCTTAAACGTGTCGGAATTAATTAATCGTAAACATCACAGGTCATCCTTAAAAAAAATGCCCAGATTTTAATATATAATCGTTTAAGATCTAGCCATTAGTTTTAGATGACTGCATACACATCCTTACTACATATAATACTAGCTAGATTATCTGGCTTTTCCCGGGTGGGTGGGCTGGAGATAGTGCACTATCTTCACCTAGGCCACCCGCACCTCCCTACCAAATTTCAACTCTATCTTCAAAACTGCAAAATCGTGGAAACATATATGGAACACACACACATACACACACCATACAACTAAAGTATCAGAGAGTTCTAATGACTGACTTACGTTTTCTATTACAGTTTCAATAAATTCATTGACTTTATTCTCCATATTGTCAGCTGCATTGTATATAAGCCTCTCAACGGTAGACTCAAGTTGTGTTGCTGCCCCGATGCCGCTGCCTGTCACTCTGACGTCCTCCAGGAGAACATCAAAGCCAAAATGGCCTGGTAGTCCTGTTAGTTCTCGTCGGACTCTCTCGATGTTGTTGAGGCCCACACAGATCTTGACGAGGGAGTATGAAGAAGAATTAATACCACACACAAAATCTATCAAAGTCAAAGTGGTCGGTTTCATTTCAACTCTTGATAGGTTAATTTTTAAGAAATTTGTATTACCTGTAGTAGTAATACAGTACAGTATTCTAATATCTGATAGTCTTCCTCTGATTTGCTGTAACTTTACCATTTTAAAATAGTCATACATGATGAATTAAATGTACTAGAGTTCTCTAACTTCATCTTATACTGACACAACAGTTGCAGCATCATAGCGTCAGCTGTGGCCATATTCCACACTTATTAATAATCCATTGTAGATAAAAGTAACAAAGTTAATTATATAATTTCATGTAAATTGCTTTTAGACGACCAAATACTGTAACTTAAGATAATTTGGTAAAGGAAAGTTGAGATACTGTATACTGAAACATGAGAATCCTAATGTTAGTGTTTTGAATATCAAATGTCTGCGAAAGTGTCCGTAATTCACAAAAAGCACCTGCGGTGGCTATCAAACAACAAATACCTGTCGTGTAATGAAGACGCTGCTGGAGTTATCTTGTCTGCAGAACATGCGGTCAACCTTGTCTCTCAGAAGGTCTGAGTAGTATGTCCCACACGAGCAGATATCTTCTAGGATTTTGGCCAGTAATACAGCGCTGTTCTCTGGATCTGGCCACGCCAGCTTTAACCACCAGATTTTCACCTGAATAAATAAAAAAAAATATGACAACTGGTGAAAACAACTTTCTTCTCGTTCTTGAAATTAACACGATAGTACACTGAATTTCTTCCACTTAATGTTGTCTCCATTGTAGAACAAATAAAATCTATTTGGGATTATCCGAGAACTATTTAATATGCACAGTTATGTTTCATTATGGTGACTCAGAATTTATCGTAAAGAAACAATACTAAGGTTCACAAGAAAAGAGTGAAATGATGCTTAATTTTACTATGTTATTATGATCTCTGGGATCAATATATTCTGTCAAAGAATATTCATCCCTATTTTGGGGTTAATTGACACAACTTACATCATGGAATATTGCAATGGTGTCGGTTGAAGAAGAACTGAAGTTACATAACTCGTCCACAAGCTCAAAGGAGTCCAGGTCGACAGCCTTTTCAATCATAATCCGAGCACGAATTATGGCTAGCTCAAGCCACCTCATTACTCCTCGCGAGAACCATCGGTGGTACTTCCGAACACCAGACTCTACACGAGCTTCTATAGGCAGCGACTCACCCAACCTGTAGGTAAAGTTTGTCAATTAAAATAACATGCACGGAAACTCTGCCTTCTCTTTGCTCAGTCGTTATTTATATAGAAATTCTGCCAATTAAAAAGTATTAATTATTCTAGAACACACTTCAAACATATAATTCCTTGACTGAACTTAATATTCCGTATATAGTGGATAATATAATACTTAAATTCAGTCAGTTTATTGAACAGTTGTGAAACATACAGTGCATTTAAAAAAAAATATCAAAGCTTTATTATTTCAGGATATGGCAGATGAAAAAAAATTGTCATTCAAAAGGAAACTCACTTGTTCAGGCGACAAAGATTCATGTACAGCTGCCAGAGTGACGTGCCCACCTCCAGGGCGTATTGAACATCGTCAGCATCTTTTTTGTGGTCATTGATTGCTGGCATGCGGTTGTAGATGTTCATGACCAGTGGCCGGACACATGGGTTGACCTTCTTACTCACCATGAGGTAAGTTGTCTGCATGTACGAGATGTTCATCTCCCTGGGAGGGAAGTTTTTCTTATGAGTAACTGAAGTATAATTTAGTCAAGGTGCTTGCTAACGGAATCAAGCACTAAAGCCAACAGTGCATAATTTTCATATTCCAAGTTCCACATTCAACAGAAATCATAAGAAAAAATAGTTAGATTTCTTACTTTAGGAAGATACCATTGTAGAATTCAGCAGCTTGAGTTAGAAATTTGTTCGACTCGTCCACAATATTAATGACTGGGGTGATCTGCTCGTCTACTGTCACCGTTCCTCGTAGTTGATCCTTAATCATCATCATCCACCTGTGGGTATTCATACATGATTAGTTCTTTAACGTACATTTCTATGTTGTGCAACACTAAAAGAAACTGTGTGTTTGGAACTATGTGGAGATTTTGGGTATACAACGTTAGTGACATGACCCAAGACTTGTTTATAACACACTGGTAGTTTATGAGGGATAATTCAAGCGATAGCAACTGAGTAAAAGGAAGCTTCAGATAATGAGTGGATAGACACAAGCAGGAAACATTATACAGTATTCCCTAAAAACTATATTATTATGAACCTACATGATTTATACTAAAGTTTAATAATTCAGTAATATTCACAAAAACGACCAAAATTCTGGGTGAAACGGAACTATCTGTACCAGGGTTGTAACTTACCAGGTTTTGGCATGCTCTGCTAGGCTGGTTATAACAGTCTCGTGCAAGTGAGGCAATCTCTCCTGATCCAGTAGTTCCCGGGTGCCTTTGTGGGTCTGGATACTCTGTAGTGCTCTGAAATATGCAACAAATATAAGAAATAACTCTTGTTTTAACTATTGTCGAAATGAGTTGCATTATATATAAAAAGAAATTTATGAAGAACTAGTCTGTCTTGATAACGACGGCAACTTTGTCAGGTAAAAAGAGTGGATGGAGCCTTAGTCTCCGCTTCAGCTGATGAACTCGTTATATGTGAGCCAAAATTAAACCATTAAATTAATTCTATTATTTTTTATGTTTTAACTGCATCAAAGAGAACTCACTTGAGTGTGTATGAGAGTTGATGCTGCGCGAGAACCTTAGAGGAGGGAGGATATGCTGTGTGTAGATCTTTGAGGCGATCACTACTGGCACACACGAAGCTCACTAAAGACGTCCGCAACTCAGCCAAGTCTTCCTCCTGATAAGAATTCTTGCCCAAGGCAGCTTGTACTCGATGGAGCTGGGAGAGTGTCCAGGCAGCGTCGACAGTAGCAACACGGCTGCCCACACACCACCAAGACAACTGGAGGGAGGCGTCATTCAGATCCAGCATTATAGCATACTGAGCTAAGGCGGCCGCTGCGCTGCTATTCACGCGACCATTCCACGGTGTTGACCATTCATTTTCTTGCTGCAAAAAGAATCATGAACTCTGACGATGTAGACTCAAGTTTAATAAGACACTTGTCCTCATTTTTGCAATATAACCATAAAGTATATTGAACAAATGTAAAATTAATAAAGACAGTCAGTCAGTACTGTTTAATGATAACCTTAGAGCAATTCAACAGCCATTCTGATTCGTAATTGTCACTGAAGATTTCAACTATAGCTTTTACAAATAGTTGTCTTTAAGAAGTTATAAGAAACATTTTGATATAGCAAATTTCACTTCATATATAATCATGTTATTCCTTTAGCATAATCTAAGTAATCGTACGGACTTGTAACAACATGATACAGATACTAATATAAACTTATTCGTCACTTTCACAATATAATAAGAACTTTAACAATAATATATAGATGTATAAATAAAGGATGAATATTACAGCAGTAACTTGATGAATGGACAAACAAACTCACGTGGTTGTTGTTGGTAGAGTTCTTCAGCTGGTGGTGGACTAAACGTGCCAACAGCGAATCATAAGAGTGTCGGTTTTTGTTCTCAAGATGGGCGGAGGAAGACACGGAGCCCTCGAGGTAAATACTGCCTCGGTCCTTGCCAGCCTCACCCTCTTCCTTCCCCAGGGAGTACCAGCCGTTCAGTCCATGCTCACTCACATCCTGAAGAAGTTAGCATGTGGTTACGATGTCTTCTCTTTGTACTAAGTTGAGTTGTACCGTATGATTGAGCTGGACCACACGAAGAATAACCAGGTAGTGTTAAGATATTTAATCATCAGGTGAAATAAGCTGGTAGGGGTTGATCTTCACGTGACCCGTTATACCTGGTAAGCGTGTCTACACAGTGAACATTCATTGCCGAGACTTTCGTGTTAAGAGTTCCTTATTGACTGTACAAAAGAGTTTATATTGATACTAGAAACTTTCATTAATCTACACTTTCGTGACCATACTTCATCATTCAGTAATAATTAGAATAATCTGTTTATGTTGTAATCTATTAAAGAGTTATGAAATGTAGACTAACTAGATAGTACAGTTAATAATCACTAATATCAAGTATTTATTAACATAAGAATGGAGGAAACTGCAGTGGGCCTATTGGCCCATGCTGTGCAGTCCCGTTTACACCCAACCCCTATTAATATTATAAGCGGCTCACAGCTCAGTATGTATTCTACAACAACAACCTACAAATTAACTTTTCTATATTTATGTAACTGATCGTTGTAGCTTGTTATAATTGTCTCCTCAACTTATGAACAACTTAATAAATTACATTATAACACTGTTTTAGTACATGTCTCACCTTCACACTGATGGTGACCTGACCAAGAAGGTGAGGAGGTTGGTGCCGCGCCTGAGCTGTTGTGCCCCGCACCAGGCGACCAAGTCCTTTAATATCCCGAACAGCTGTCAACTGCTTAACTTTCAAAGCATCGTACTCATGCCTACAAGACACAATAGTAAGTTCGTTACAAACTACTCGTGACGAGTTAAAATATTTCCTCTTGACGGATATATTTTTCGAAACATGAATAAATCTTACATAATTGCATAAGGATCTCAGTATCAAAAAATCTTAAAAAGTTTAACCTATACTCACCATATTTCTAAGCGAAGAACATCTTTCTGGAGGTTATGCACGCGTCTGGAATAAAAAATTATAGGCTTAGAATAAAAATACGTCTTTAAAAGCAGACCTCAAGACATTAAGATAAGGTGCATTTATATAATATCAAATAATATCTTTATTTTACTTTTGTTAATTCGAATATTGAAGTTATTACATGAATGTTAGCACCAGAGAAATAAAGCATTACAGTTGTGACTCACAAGGTAAAGTCTTGGTTCCACTTGGGGATTAATGTATCTTTCTCTAGTCTCGACCTCTGTGACTTGCCGCTGCTCGGGATGGCCAGTGTGACGAAACAGTTTGTTGTTCCTGAAAAGAAAAATATGATATAAAATATGATATACATAAGAGAAAGAGAAATACGAAGGTCATACACGATAATAACTAATATTACCCAGAAATGTACAAAGCAAGAGACTGAAGAGTGATTGAATTTCTGTAATATTATCGAGATTTATAGACAAGTACTTGTGTGCTGTTCAACCGGTCGTAACATGTGACGGAATGAACGACTGAGAGCAAGGTGAGATCAACTGCGAATTAGTTATGCGGAAAAACTAAATATCCCAATATTACTACAATATAGCCGCATGATTAGACCTTCGGTATTTTATGAGTTTATTGACACACACACAAAGCTCCTGATTTATGTACTGTACAGCCCTGTAAATGTATTGAACGTATATCATTATGTATACACCACCTGTAAGTTTGTATATTTTCAGCCACCGGCTGCAACTCTATTAATTAACCGTTTATTATCATTATTATTACACATGCAGTTAGCAACATGTGCTTTATTCTTGCCTGAGACTGAAGGCCCCTGAGCCTCTTGACATGTTTGCACCATAAAACTATACTTAAGAAACTCACCCTTGACAGTCTTCGGTCGTAGTTCCTTGGCCTCTTTCAAACTCAGGTGGAGGTTGACCTCAGGAGCCTGGAGGATGAAGATACGGGATTTTAACGATCATAATAAGAGTATGTTACAAAAGACGTTCATTCTAAACTATCTACATTCCAGAATATAGTAAGTGTGTTAACATATATTAGTTATACTCGTAAGTTATTGATTCTGTAATTGTCATCATTTTGAACGCTGTACAACTATAATGTACAGTAAGTACAGTCTCCTCAAAAGTCCTCGTCTCCTTCCGAACAAGTAAGTGTCGAAACTATATGAAATAATGCAGCACTAGCAGTGTTGGAATCCTGGACTACACACCTGCGAGTATTCTTGGTTATACTGTCCTTTACCTGGGGAATGGGGATGTCATACACATTTCCTCTAACATTCCGTTCTGAATGTAATAATAATAAAATATGAACAAACAAATTATTCCCCCCTCTCTCTCTCTCCGGATGAAGATGGCGTATTACTGAAGTTCTCGTGTAAGAATGTCATTCTTAATACATATGAAAATTATGCACTTGATCATTATGGCAACACAGAAATGTCAATATATTTTATATGCATATCAATGACATGTTTATCCGTGAATTTGTGTTATATAAAAGAAATATGATGTAATAAATATAAAAGCTTCTTTTGCACGAGATGCAACAAACAAATATTTTAATATATAGTCAAAGCAGAAGCAACCCAAGTGACACCTTATCTTCCACCACCAGCTAAATCTCCCCCGGCGGCGGGGAACGGATAAGAGCTGTTTCACTCCCTATGTTTACGAAAGGATTGGATCACTAGTTTTAATATAAATTTACACATTTTTAGTCTGGTGGTCTGACTCCCACACACGAGTCACAGGCGCTGGGGCTCGAAGCAGTACTACACACAGCTGGTCCCAAAGGAGCGAATGAGCGGTTACCCAAATTAATTACCCGGTAATGATCCAGGGAACACTGTTTACATGATCCACCTGACTCGCGCCAATCACCTTGAGTCTCGGTGTCACTTGATTATGTCTAGCCAATCAGCGTTGCTCTCGATGTTATGTGATACTCCTGCGCATGATCAGAGCTTCGAAATTTAGTTTTGTCGTCTGATGGCTTCTCTTTGCACGAGTGTAATATCTCAGCTTGGCAAATCATTCATCGTGTGTTTGAAAAAAAACCCGCTGACATTGACATTTTTAAGGCTCTTGGTATTCTACCAGCCTCTGTGAAGTGTTACAGGTATTCATACGCAAAATATAGAACACTTGTGAAAGGACAAGAGTTGGGTGTTTCGTGCTGGCAATAAGAAGGAACATTACCTACATTACTATCTGAACATGCTCCAGGCCGAATACAACGATCACTAGACTATACTCCACCACTTCTTCCTACAAGTAGCACCACTTTATCCTCTAGCATCTGTTAATTAAGGTAAGTTTTTACACGACGTGGGGTCCAGGGGGCTATTTTAAGTCAGGCCCTTCTGGTTTCTCAGGTTAAGAGGTTTCGTTTCGTCATTTTTTTTTGCGTGTTTTACCACAAAAATTCCCTATACTTCAAAGCCTTGCTCACTTTGCGCAACCAATTTTGTTGGCAAGGGGGGGGGGGGGCATATCTCCATAACAGCTCATTTGCAACGGAAATGAAAGGAAGATTCGCCTGAAACACCACAAAATACATTTGTTTATTTTACGTATTTTTCATTTACAAAAGTTATCCAATTCATGAATTTGTAAGATTTCACACATTGCTTACCAAGACTAAGGAGCAGACTTTGTTTGTAAAACCAACAGAGTCTAGCATAACTATTGAAAAACCTAGATTTCTGGTCAAAAACTAATTGGAAGTGAAACTGCAATTTCACCTGTTGGTTTAGGTCAGCTTCCGTTTTTGCTCTTCCCCACCCCAAAAAACCCGAATTCCCACAGGTCCTCCGAGATTGTTGGAGGGAAGGTCTGACATGGTTAAAAAAGAAAAACAAATCAATGGAAACCTAAAAAAAATATAACCCAATATAATGCGAAAACTTGTATAATAACGTTTTTCTATACACTCACGATAAGGGAGTATAGTACAGTAACCAAATATTGTTTTCTACAGCATTAGTCTCATGTTTGTTTTTAATATATTATAATCTTGATCTCACATTAGTTATTTATGTATAAAGTTGCCAGGCGTGAATAGCTCCACCTTTTGGGACACTCCCGGCACGGGGTTCGCTCCAGCGATTCATTCTGATTGACGAGGGCACGGACTTTTTGAGATGATTGTACCTAGTTTTTATTTGGTTCACCACTCAAACGCTACCCTAAATTTACCTAATCTAACCGCGAACGCAGCGTTAAGGGTTAATCATCAGGCAAAATAAGCTGGGTGGCTAATCTTCAAGTAATGGGTTTTTCACTAATAGATATTAAGATAACTTTATAAACAGATCCAGCTCAAGGGTCAGCCCTTCAACTCACCGCTCTACTTTGCACTTCTTGGGTAAGACGATCCACTGTGTCCTGGTTGACCTGGAAGGCTTCCTGAAGGACTTGTAAGACTTGCTCGAGAGAGACGCTGGTGCGGTTGGAGGACCCCGATGTGGTTTGGCCACCAGCTGAAGCAGCAGTGATGACATGCCACATGCCATCACCCGCGCCGCCCATGAGTGAGTGAACCGAGTACAACAAATCTGTCAGTAGGTCCTCCGTCTGTGGTGCAAAAAGAGATAATGTGAGTGAAGATTCTTCACATGGTACACCACAATATATATATATATATATATATATATATATATATAAATATATAAAGAATACATACAATTACTGTAGAGGGGGGGGGGGGACCTGCTAGAACAGTAACAAAGACTTGGGTAAATATTCCCGGGTATTTCTCTCACTTCAAAATAAATAAAAGATGGAACCTCGTTGTTTTCGGGAGCTGCGAGAACGTTTGAAGTAAAGGACTTCCCGTGACTCGTACTGTACCCGAAACAACATCGTGGACGATATGTATAATGCGTTTTATTATAGCGGGTGACTGTGTGTGTTTACTCATTTTCATCAAGACATCTTTGCAGCAATGGTTAATGTACTGCGAACATCCACGTTTTACAGTATTACCTAACACCCGATTAAATTAAATTTCATTGCCTAGATTGATTCAAATAATACATCTTACTTGAATACACTGTACTGTATATGTTTTTCCAACGACTGTATTAAAACATCAGTGAAGTGAGTAAATCTGAACTTCAAAATCTGAGGAGACAGGGGAAACCACTTGAGATATCACGGGCACAGAGTGACATCCGGTTGCTCAATATTATCATGTTGCAGGCGGATGTTTCATAAATCATGTTTTGCTCTCCAGGGCTCGTGCCCGACCAAGCCTCTGAGATTTCTGGTTCTGCCAGGTGATCAGTATGAGGAGCCTTCAACACCCCCCCCCCCCCTCGAAGTTGTTCCTTCCTTCTCCCGGGTAACAGGATCATAAGTATGCAGCTCCACAAGCTGGTCGAAATATGTAATAAGTGATTGCTGAAGTCAACTACCCAGAGATAAAATTATACTAAACAACAGCCACCATGGTAGGTATTCATATACATCAAACTCACGACTCCAGAGAGGAATTTACACGTAAGATAAAAGTAATGACACAGAAAATGATAACAAACTCGTGAAAGTGAATTATTGCAATGAAGAAAGAGAAAGGAAGAGATACAGAGAGAGAGAGAGAAAAAAGACATTATTAGACGACATTAATCCAAGTTTATTTATCACTCTCTACTTAATTGTGGTATGGGAAATATTGCTCGCTGCCTAACACAATAAATTATAATGGTATTCCTAAATCAATTCTCCGCAGTTGAAGGAGCTGACGAAATTACCAATTAGAGGAAATAACATTGACTATCATATGGCAACACTAACTACACCCAATGACGGCCATGGTCACGTCCTCCCTCCCCATGCCCCAAGTCTGTCTCCTATGCGTGGTGCTGTCTCCTATGCGTGGTGCTGTCTCCTATGCGTGGTGCTGTCTCCTATGCGTGGTGCTGTCTCCTATGCGTGGTGCTGTCTCCCATGTATTATACTCAGTAAAACAAGTTAATATTAAACTTTAGTAAAAAACTATTTACAGCTAGGAGGCGAAGTCAGTCTTGCGAACAGCCAATAACCCATTCTTCTGGAAAAGGTGTTAAGACGTCTGGGTATGTAGTGTTGGATCACGTGTAGATTACCCCTCCTCCATCCCCACACCGAGCTAATTTTACCTCATGATTAAACACCTCACTGCTAATTGGTGGATTTTTAGGGTTCGATTATGTTAGCTTAGGTTAGCGTTGGGGTAGTTAATATGTAAAAAAATAAGTTTGGGTGTCTAATCATCAGGTGATACTCGAAGGCCAGTATAAATATTGTCTATACAGGTGTAGTTCCCAGTTAAGTTGTTTAAAAAGGTTAATAAAAAGATTACAATGACACCATGATGGTAACGAGCTGAAGGTCAACTAAGTCGGGAAATACAAAAAAAAAACCGATTGGAATATTTGCTCATGGATGTAGTTGAAGACCTTACGTGAGACAGGACCAGACGCGTACAAAGGACAGTCGTTAGTCATTCCAGTACTCATGGACGTGGTGACATTAGAGTTACAAATTGTTTTCACATTTTTTAGTAAATACAGTAAACCCCTGAATCAGAAGTCGTCGACGTAAAAGTACTGGCGGCGTGTTGAAGTAACCTAGGGACAGTGTGTAGCTCAAGTGAGTCATCTGTATCCTGAATAGAGGAATCAAGTCGATGGTGAGGGAGGTCAGTAGTAGTGATGGTGAGGGAGGTGAATGATGGTGGTTGTGTGGTGGTAGGGGAGGTGTGTGTGGGTGGTTGTGTGGTGGTAGGGGAGAAGTGGTGGTGGTAGTGGTGGTGGGGATGGTGATAAGGGAAGTAGTGGTGGTGGGGATGGTGATGGGAGAAGTGTGGGTGGTGGTGATGGGGAGGTGATGGTGATGGGGGAAGTGATGATGGGGATGGTGATGGGGGAAGTGGTGGCGGTGGTGGGGGAGGTATTGGTGGTGGGGGCTCGTTAACTCATATTTGACACTGGCCAATCTCACCACTGTAATACCAGACCAGCATCCCCTCAGGGCACCATTGTTCATGTATCTGCTTCTCATAGAAACAAAGAAATATTGGACCACGTGAAGATCAGGCACCTTAACGTATTTTACCTCCATATAAACCACCCTAACCTAACCTCACCTAACCCCCCCAGGCAAGTTAGGTTAAGTTAGGTTAGACAAGACCCCAGACATTATCCTCTTTTATGACATTCAAAGTATTTTTGTTTTCTTCACTATAATGATTCAAGCGGGAAGGACATGTCACCGAGGAACAGGGTGTAAGACACACCAGTTCACAAAAGAACTTCTGACTCATAATGGTGTAAGTGGGGGTGATGATGCTGATTTGTGGTGGTGATGGTTGTGGTGGTGATGGTAGTAGTGGTGGTAGCAATGGTGGTGGTAGCTGTGATGATGATGGTAGTAGTGGTGGTAGCAATGGTGGTGGTAGCTGTGATGATGGTAGTAGTGGTGGTAGCAATGGTGGTGGTAGCTGTGATGATGATGGTAGCAATGGTGGTGGTAGCTGTGATGATGATGGTAGTAGTGGTGGTAGCAATGGTGGTGGTAGCTGTGATGATGGTAGTAGTGGTGGTAGCAATGGTGGTGGTAGCTGTGATGATGATGGTAGCAATGGTGGTGGTAGCTGTGATGATGATGGTAGTGGTGGCAGCTGTGATGATGATGGTAGTGGTGGTAGCTGTGGTGGTGATGGTAGTGGTGGTAGCTGTGATGATGGTAGTGGTGGTAGCTGTGATGATGATGGTAGTGGTGGTGTTTATAGATTAATGGGTTACAGATAGTTGTAGAAGTTGGAAATAGCTGTGGTGGTAATAGTGGTTGTTGTGGTGGTTATGGTGGTCTTACTGGAGTACTGATGGTGTTGGTAGGGATGGTTATGGTTTAGTCTTGGTGGTGGTGGTGGCAGCGTTGTGATAGTGGTGTGACAATTTCAACGATGGTGGTGTTGGCTGTAGTGGTTATAAGTGATAATGATGATAGTGGTTCAATGATGATTAGTGTTGTCACTGGTGAATATATCAGTAGCAGTTGTGGTAGCTGTAATAATAGCGGTTGTGGAGTCTGTATTATTAGTGGTAGTTGTGGTTGTTGTGGTAGTTGTGGGGATTAGGAGTGGGATGATGACGTGAAGAGCATACACACACACAACAGGAAGTCTGACGAAATAGCTATATATTCTGAACCTCCTCTCTTAAAAGAAGGCGGCGAGTAGGAGATGACGGGCTTTTCAACACACTCGAATTAATAAGAGTAAAATGTGGCCTCAATGATTATTATCATTATTATTATTAGTAGTAGTAGTAGTAGTAGTAGTAGTAGTAGTTGTTGTTGTTGTATTCGTATTAGTAGTATCCTTATCGATTTTATAATTTATTTCACTGTCTTATAAGTCCCCAAAGCCATCGCGGTATATGTAAATAATTCAGAAGAGCTGTAGGAATGATTAGACACTCAGTCCTACACCCCCAGTACACAGACTATAGTTATGCGAAATTATTAACACTGTGTTGGTAAGATATTTGGGTGAATGTTTTTTATTTCTTCGTTTTTGTGTGTGGTTAGGTTAGGTATAGGTTTGGTTAGGTTAGGTTTGGTTAGGTTAGGTTAGGTTTGGTTAGTTCTCATTGCATTTACTCATGCATTGTGTTTAACTGGTTGTTCTTATGTATAATCTCTTGGGATTTTCGAAAAATCAGAAATGTATTGAAATTATCGCAGGGAAGCAACTAACAATAAAAGGCAAAACACACACACACACACACACACACACACACACACACACACACACACACACACACACACACACCTGTAACTTTCCCACAAGATGTACCCGATGGTATTGCTGTGATTTTCCTCGAAATTGTAACACGAAAAAAATACCTTGTGTTCGAAGTATGCTTGAATGGTGTCGCTGAGTGAGCTGCAAGTGCTGAGGTTGCTGGTGCTGCTGCTGCTGAAGGTACTGGTCTCATAAAACCCCTTGTTGAGACTATCTCGTAATTCCTTGATATCTTCGTCAGCATCATCATCGTCGAATTTGATCAGTGTATCTATATCAAGACAGAATGGTCTTACGTAGTCCACCTCAGTATTCCCTATTATACACCAACTGTTTGTCTTCCTCGCAGCACGTCTCTTGGTGTTCCTCCGGCTGTGGGTCCTATAGAACGTAGAGCCGAGGCTTTGGGGATCGTTGGTGACCTTTTTGTGGCGCCTTGGTTGATACCCACCAAAGATTGCTGATCTTGCCTCCTGTAACTCCCTGCCGATGATAATTTGCTCCATGGTATTGGCCAGAGAATCAGTTTTGTAACAATGCCGATCACTTTCTCAACACTACTGGTATCCCACTCACTCTCGGGGTGAGTTAAGTATCATTGTGGTCGAAAACGTATGTGTTCACACTGGGTCAAGAATTCGTTTTGTATACGTTATGCACAACATTGAACGATTCAGAAAAAAAAACTCCGCTTAGTGTGTTCACGAGAACGACAGAGAATGAACTTATCAACAGCACGACCGACGCAGCTGACGTCTGCCTCATAACTAGTTGTAGAACTCTG